GTAAACATTGTCAGAGTAAAAATGGGAGATACAGGTATGAAGGGAAAAAAATGAATATATTTTTTCTAAATTACAAATGAATAAAAAAATGAATAAAAGCAGCACATGATACATTTATGCATTAGCCTTTCCCTCCCCTGTAACTCAGCTAGGTTTGATGGCAGCCCTGATTTTTTTGCTGTGATTTTTAAGCATTTGTTTACTAAACTAATAGCATTTCATTAAGCAAGACTAATTCTGAGAGCCCATTAGCTTCCAGACAGTCATTAATTCCAGTGACATGTCTTGGGATGAGATCACTATTATTACTACTAGAGACCCAGTGCACAAATTTTGTGCACTGTCGAGGGGGGGGGGTCCCCCTCAGCCCGGCCTGCACCCTCTCGAAGTCTGGGACCCCTCGCTCCTTACCGTCCACTTGCTCGTTGCTCCTTAGTGCTGCTGTGGAGGCAGGCGAGGCTCCTTCCATCGCTGCTGAGCTCACCAGCAGTGAGCTTGGCTTTTGGCTGAGTGGCGCTCCCCCTGGTGGTAGTGCACATCATAGCAACAGGTTGTTCTGATGGTCATTCCACCCTTTGGTCAATTTGCATTTTAGGGTTTTATTATATAGGATTATTTTTATCAATTAAGCTCATTTTTTCATAAAAAATATCTATGTAGTTTTAACACTGAATATTTTCCTTCTGAAACCTGTCCTTTTAGTATCTTTGAGTTAGCAATTTCTTGCTTTGCCCATATGTTTCCACAATCCTTTTGGCTACCACCAAAGGTAATTTAAATTCCCTAGGTTTAATTTCTATTGTTAACAAACAATTAGAAACATTTTTGGAAAAGTATCCTAGTAAGATATTTTGGTTTCCTCTGTAATTTTTCTTTATTGGGACTTGTGAAATAATCTCGGAAGGCCATGTGACTGGCTTCAGAAGTGTGGGGCAGGCTTTGTCATTCCTGGTCTGTGAGGACTGTTGCCATTGATGAATATGGCTGTTCAGTCCCAGTGCTACAGAAGGAAAGGCCCAGCCTGACTGTGATGAGAAGAGCAGATGCCACCAGAACACAGTGGCAAACGTCAAAGTGAAGGTTTTGCTGACAGGGAGCAGTCTGTCCATTACCACTTTCCAGCACTCTTAGAATCAGAGGCAGAAAGAAGACTCAAAAACAACCGTGCAAATTATAAACAAACAAGAAAAGCAAATAAAATATGGTGCTTATCAATCCCAGGCCACCCCATAAAAATAGGAACTGATATGGCAGAGCCCATGGACCCTAAGGGGGAGCACAAATGGTTTGGGAAGTCCGTGAAAAACAGTTCTGACATGTCAGAATGCCAAAGATTTTTTAAAGTTGATCTCTTTTGGCCTGGTAAGATTTTATGCATTTTTGTCGTTCCAGCCCTGAGGTCTAAGGATTAGTGGATGTTTCTGCCAGCCTGGAACGCATGTGGTGAAAAGAATGTACGCATGGTGACAGTGAAAAAGTGAATGTATAAGGGCTTCTTTTAAAGAAAAAGGATAAAATTTTCATTGTTCTCTGGGCCAAAGGGCTTCAAAATAAGGCTAAATTTGTAGTTTCCTTAAACATTTCTGTTTTGCACCCTAAATATGGTTATTTTCAGTTCAGCTTTGCTTTTTAAATGCTATATGATTTTCAGAATGCCTAACCAGAAGAATAGGACCTGACCCCTATTCTAAATTGGTCTAGATAGGATCGAATTGTTCATTAAGCCAAACAAACAAAAAGAATTAGGAGCAATTTGGAAGTTTGAATGCTAATTTTATATGGGACTAATTAACAAATTCATGTTAGTTTTTTTTTTTTGTGTAGCCTACACTTTTTATTGATAAGAAGTAAAACATTCATCTGAATAGCTCAGAAGCATGCAATGGAGAAATGGGAGAAGACGGAAGTTGCTTCTGTTTCCAGTATTTGTTAAATGTTTGTCTTGAAGCTAACATGGTCCTATTAATGATGGATTTTTCATTGCCATCGACATGCTTTTGCAATTTTCCTAGATATCTGCTCTGGGGTCACATGGTAAGTCAATAGTGGTTATAAACCTCTCAGCATCGTGATCAATACCTCTGGCTGACGTAATCTAGATCCCTGGTGTAATTTACAACAAAGGACAGTTTGGGCAGGCCTCTGTTTTATTGCCTCCAATTCACCCACTGAAATATTTCACTGGTTTATGACCGAAGCTATTTCCAATTTTTGATAGATAGGGAATTAAAATAGTCTTGAAGAAAGAGGTTAAATATGAAAAGGAAAAACATTTCATGGTATTGAAAGCAATCAGCATTTCTTCTTTGGGGAATAATGTCAGCACACCTATCCTCTGAAATTGTCTCAAGCACCACAAGAGTGAATCGTGGGCATGTCTAGTCATCCAGATGGATTACAATACGAATGCAGTATTCCTTATCTTTCAAATACACACCATATAACTGGAACAACATTGTACTTACTCTACTTTTTCCTGAGTCTGAATCATTATTAACCATCCATTTGAGCAAAACAAGGAACATAAATAGCAAGGATCCTTGTCTCCTATCATTTTGTCTTTGTGCAACTTTCCATTAACTCAGACAGATCGTTCCCCCATGTCTGCTGTATATTTTAGGTCTGAAGGCTAAACAAGAAAAAAATAAACTAGTCATTGGAAAGGCGATTAAAGACATAGCAGGGAGTTTGTAAAGAGGAAACGGGATGGAGGTTTTCTTCAGGTCTCCCTCTGAGCAGGGGCACAGCCTTGCCATCCTCGAGTCACCATTCTCCTCCTGCACTGCATGTCAGTTCTCAAGGATGAAGTGGGTTCACAGCTCTGTCTGTAGTAGAAAGCAGGAATGAGGTGAGGGATGGGGTAAGAATTTGGATTTAAACATCTATAAGGTCCCTTTCAGACTAAATTTCCCTTTCAATCAATCACTGGCTGGCTACCTTTACCTGGGCTTTTATTGTCTAAGACTGAAGATAATAGTTATATCCCAACTATTGAGCAACTATGGTGTGCCTTTATACACTGTTTCTTAGCCCTCAAATGACTTTTTTGTGGGAAGTAGGTCTAACCTACTTAACATACAAAGAGACTTAAGTTGAGAGAGGTTCAATATTTTGTCCAAGGTAAATCAGAGCTTGATCTATTTGTCTAAGAGGCTTCACTCTGGGAGAAGGATTAAAAACAAAACAAAAAAATAAACGAAGAAGCAAACCTCAAACCTAGCCTGTAGATACATAGATCAGATTGGCGGTAGCCAGTGACAGAGAACTGGAAGGGGGTGTGTGGAAGCAAAGGTGAAAGGGTCAAAGGTACAAACTTTCGGTTATAACCTGTGATGCCTCTTCAAGATAGTTTACAGATCAAAGAAGTGTATCGATATTAAGTGCCAGATACTAGGGGGTATAAATAAAGACAATAAAAATCCTTGTCCTCCAGGGCCACGGAGTCAGATGGACCTTTCTATGAACGTGCACCTCTTTCTGGGAGTGAGGTGGCTGTGTATAAGCATGGACTTCCCTCTCAGTAAAGAATCAACCCCCACTATATTTTATAGGCACTGGTTTAAACTTGGGCCTTACAAAAAAAATATATATATATTTTTTTAATCAGGTTGCTCCAAGTTGCTCCATGATTCTTAGAGGAGTGAAATGTCACCCTTACCATTACAAGAATACTCGCTTTGATGACCGGGGGTAGTTTTCCGGTAACTGGGGCTCCTGAACGGTGGGACCCTGAGTGGATAAGAAGGCCTCTCTCCTCCAACTCCCAGCTAGGTATCTCTGGGCCAACTCCGGGGTGGTAGCTCCCCGTCACACCTTGTGGTCCAAAATGCACGCTGCCAGAGAAGGGCATCATGCTCAAGTAGGAGCAGCGTGCCCTAGCAGTTCAAAATGTGTCAGAGGAACTAGGCAATCTGTCAACTCAGGGCAAAGCCCCCTTAACAAGACAGAGACCCCTGAGACTCAGAAATGCAAATTCTTTTCAGTTGCCCATGCATTAACTTGATTAAGGCTCTCACACGGAGGCGCTTGATGCAGCCAGGTGAAATCAATTGTAGGTTTCCTGCCATTATGTAAATGTAGGTAATCAAGCATGCATAGCAATAAGCAAATCTCAGTGTACAAGGTGATAGATACACCGCTTTATTTTCAATTGTATGAGTTACTAGAACAATAACTATTAACATACAAAGTACCATCAGCTCAACTGCAGGTATAGGCAGTGACAAGTATCTAATTCTTAGAATCCCTCCCACAATCTGTCCAGACACATTAACCGAAGGACACATTTGTAAATAGCACACACGGTTTTCACATTACGGCTTTCTCAAGCATAGACGGTGTGTAGACTTGGTGATGGGTTGTTGTTTCCACAAGTTCTGTGTGTTCTTGATGCATTCCTTTTCTTGACATTGGGAGAGATATTTCTTTCCACAAAGTAGATTTACAATATTCTGTGAACCAGTGTCACTCTGGACACTTTTAAAATAGTAATAATTGAGTTGAAATATCTCTGCAGTACAGTTCCTTGTGTCTTATGGTGAGTTCCATCGTCAAGGAGTTTTTGGTTGTAATCATTCTCTTGCAACAACAGCTCAACTCTACTATTGGGTTCAGTGTAACACCCTCTTCAAAGCTTGCTGAGTGATGTAATGAGGGTGGGGCATACTGGCAATCAGCACATTTCGTTATCATTGCTTACAGCCATTTAAAACCACACTGCTATTAATCCAAGCCTGACATGCCTTTTCTGAAATGTTCACAGTGCAGTATTTTTGTGGCCTAACGAAAGTTTTCTTATGTCATTAAAAATAAACATTTCTATAAAAATAGAATATTTAAAATGTTTACACAGAGAAGACCAGTTTAGAGTATCCTGTGCCATATGCACTATACAGTAGTAAGCACAAAATCTCACAAAACAAAACAGCACAAAAATCCTACCAGAGGAACCGTTATCCAGGTGAAATAGCCAGAACTTACAACTGACCCCCTTTTTCCCCCCTAAAATACTCTTTGCTTAACACAGAACATGTCCTAATGCAAAAACTGGACTTCCCCAAAGTTTTATTGTGTCTATGTGTTTGTGGGATAGAAGCTGCCACTTGAAAACGAGGCTAATATTTCCAGTCCATTGGTCATTTTTTGCCTTAGATATGAGGCAGATTGGAACCAATAAACCTTTTAGACAGATGTATCTTGCTTTAAAAACATGCTAAGTTATCACAAAGTACTTCCTTTACTTCCAGTTGGCATTAAAAAAAAATCACAGGCAAAACATCTAAATGTCTACATTCATTCCATCAGAACAGTATCATTTTCAAACAGTTGATTTTTTTAAAGCAGCTGATTTTTAAATAACAAATATTTCATTAATATTAAACAATTTTATGAAAACCTTCTTAATGCCATCAACTATGTATGTATATACAATACAGAATGGTCCCACAAAATATACAATACATTTTGTGTCCTGCATTGCTTATGGACATTTCTTCAACAAAAGGAATGTGTATCAAAAATGTAGAAGGGAATGTTTGCCCAACATCAATAATAACACATGTCAGTGACTATATAACACATGAACTCTCTTTGAAATTTTAAATGAGTGGCCTGTCCCCAGCTACCTGGGCATCTCCACTTCTGAATTTTCAGTGATCCAGAAGGCCTCAAAACCGATCGCCTCCATTCCCCATATGAAATCAGGTCAGATCCTGATTTTTAAAATTCCAACCTAGAATTCAGGCTTTGGCCTGAATGCAACAGGAGCATCATCAAAGCTGCAGGGTTGCCCTTGGTCACTGGCCTATGGGACCAAGCTTCTGGCTCTGATGCTTTGTCAGGTGACAAATTCCTCAGAATCCAGTCATTTAAGAGCACAATAGAAGGTCCTAGAGTAGCACAATTTTGGCAAAAGCAAACAATATCGGGTGGCCTTTCAATGAGCAGGCAGTGAAAAAAACATTGGTCATGGTGTGGACTGTTGCTTGAACAGTTCTATGATGTTTATCAGAAGGGGGCTGATGGCGTATTCATCTATCAGGTGCCTCCCTCACCATCAACTTTATCTTGAGATGACAACAGGGGAGGGTATGGAGAAACACTTTTGATATTCACGTAAGTAGCGTTCACATGAACATAGTGCTCCCCGATGAACGTAGAGAAGATGGCCGATATCCTGGAGACCAGTTCAGAAAAGGTCGGGCGCATTTCAGCTTTGGGATGCCAGCACTTTAGCATCACTTCATACCTGTTTCAGGAAGGAAGAAGTGCAGTGAGAGACACATCAAGGATAAGAATTTCTGCAAAAGCAAAGAGTATAAGAGCTACAGAAGACGCTCCTGAAATTCTTACTCACAAGGCATCGGGGCAGTATTCGGGTTGTAAGAGCCTTCTGCCTTGCAGCAAGTAAACCGTTATATCGAAGGTGTTGACATCAGGATAGGGAGGTGCCCCCCTTGTCATCAGTTCCCAGAGGAGCACACCGAAGGACCACTAGGCAGACCGTGGGAGAGAGAATCCAGGTGAGAAGTGTGACCACATAAATATGAAAGGCAATCAGTAGGTCTTGATAACGAAACTCGGTTTAGTGTACTCAATGCACATGCTGTTTGGGGCGAACATTTTCTTAAAGGCAAGTAGTAAGCTATACATTTCAGGATTTGTTTAAACCAGAATTGGATAAAGTTTAGGTACAAGTAAATATGAAGTTTTCAAAAAGAATATCTGAAGTCCACATGGGGATTAAGATTTCATCTGTAGTTAGTAAAGTAGGCTTTTAAGTTCTCTTGTAAAAGCAGCACATTCAAAGATTCTATCCTCTTTTTAATGGCTTCAGTACACTTTTAGATTACTAGTAAACGAAGAAAAGTAAGCCTTTTTAGTAAAAGTAAAAAAAGAAAAGTTAAATTTGTGGGATTTTCAAGTGAATGTAAACAGTCAAGAATGTAACCATAAAGCTCTGGGGAGGGAGGGGATGTGTGGGAGGGAGGGAGGGGGGAAAAATCAATAAAATATGTAAAAAAAAAAAAAAAAAAAAGAATGTAACCATACCTAAAATTTAATGTTAAAAGAGAAGACCTAAGTAAAAATCCATATTAAAAATCACAAGTAAAAAACTGCTAGGCAACAAGGCTATTGAAAACTAATTTCAATAAGATATTTGTACTGTAACTTGAAATGTTCAAAGAGTAGATTAATAAAAACAGTTCTATCAATACTTTATAGGGAGATTGCAGGGACATGGAGAGGTTAAGAGATTTGCTAAAATTCTCCATGTCTTAATTCATGTTGGGATGAACATCTAAAAGTTCTTGGCTCTTGGATCTTGAGTGGCCGATTGAACTTGACTAAGTATGCAATTTCTTGATTTAAAGCAGGCAGATTTAAAGCACTATACTTGGAAGAATACCTCAGGTTATACAGTTACCTCCTCCTGGACATGTGCCAAGGTGAGAGGGACACATGAGAGTAAGTCAGCATGTGTAGGTCACCTCTGGGCAGGAGACCCAGAAAATCAGTGCTTAGCAACACTTCCTGGACACTCCACAGACCAAGAGGCACATTTGGAGAGAATGAGGCTCTGAGGATAAAGAAGCTGGGAGAAGGAGAATACAGATAGGACAGGTAGACTAGGAGAACAGAACATTGAGAAGCAAGTGTAGCTCATAATATTCAGCAAGAAAGAGAATAAAAAGACTAGGAGAACAGAACATTGAGAAGCAAGTGTAGCTCATAATATTCAGCAAGAAAGAGAATAAAACACGCCTTTGAACACGGCGGCCAAAAGAAAGAAACTAGGTAGAAAATTTAGTTGCTGATACAAATCTCCATTAATGGCTCTTTTGCCTAAGAGCAAGAACCTTAACAGCCACTGACAGCCTTAATCCAAACAGAAAACAAACTCCTTCCCAGGTGGGAACTAGATAACTTTGCTGTCTTCTGCAGCCTTTCAACATCAAAGTTTTCAAAGCCTGCAAATCTTAGTTCTTTCTGACAACTTAATTGTGTTAACCTTCACGTTCCAAAGTTTGCATTAAAATATAAATCAATTAAACAAGTATCTACTGACTCCTGAGGTGCATAAGTAGGTTACTCCCCAAGTTACTGGATAAGCCCCAAGGCTGATTAAATAGAGTTAAGAATATTAGGCAATTGCCAAAACCGGTTTGGCTCAGTGGATCCCAGGTTCCATTCCAGTCAAGGGTATATACCTTGGTTGTGGGCATATACCTTGAGGGGGTGTGCAGGAGGCAGCTGGTCGATGATTCTCTCTCGTTGATGTTTCTAACTATCTCTTTCCCTTCCTCTCTGTAAAAAAATCAATAAAATATATTAAAAAATATTATGCAATTAACTATCATGTAGAATAATAAAATGTAACAATGGAGCAATAATAGAAAAGAGGTACAAAGTTAGATAACAGTGGGTCACTGAGAGAGGCCTCAGGAAGAAAGTGATAGTAAAGTGGGTGTTGAAAGCAAGGGAGATGTGTTTTACAGGTACATGTAACGGGAGGACAGAGTGTGTTCCCTGTGGGAGTGGGCCAAGGGGTGAGAGCACACATGTGTTTTCACTGAGGTATAAATGTCATAGTCACTGCTGGGTGTGTGGACTAAGGGAGGAGGGACAGGTAAAGCTGAAAGGGGATCATGCTGTGGGGTTTTTGAATGGGGAAAGTGAAATCGATGGGACATGACTAGAGTTGAGCTCCAGGAGGTTGCATCCTGTAAACACTATGCTTTAGACAAATAGGAGACACTGATAAGGTAGAGACCAGTTTTCTGAACAAGAACAGGTAAGGGATACTACTGCATACTGCAACACGGAAGCCTATGAGACTGAACTTCTGAATCAGGGTGGTGGGAGATGGTGTGTGTTATATAATGAGCTGGGCATGAGCATCATGCCTTAAAAAAATAATAATTATTATCTTGCCCTAAATGCTCAGTGGAAAGAGCGTCAGCCTGCGGACTGAAGAGTCCCAGATTCAATTCCGGTCAAGGGCATGTACCTTGATTGTGGGCACATCCCCAGTAGGAGGTGTGCAGGAGGAAGCTAATCAATGTTTCTCTCTCATCTATGTTTCTAACTCTCTGTCCCTCTCCCTTTCTCTCTGTAAAAAATCAAGAAATATATTAAAAATGATTATCTTAACCTTGTAATAACTCTTTTATAAACCTGTAATATAATTGATTTTATAGACGCTTTTTTTTTTTAAAGAAAGTTTGTATTATTGATTTTTAGAGACAGACGAAGGGAGAGGGAGAGAGAGAAACAACATCGATGTTAAAGTGAAACACTGAATGGCTGTCTCCTGCATGCCCGCTACTGGAGGTGGAACCCACAACCCAAGCATGTGCGCTGACTGGAATCCAGCCCCCGAGGCCTCTTGATGCACGGGTTGTAAGTAACTGCCTAAAACTGGAACGAACGCAACCAACTGAGCCACACCGGCCAGGGTTAAAGGTGCTTTAAGGGTGAGGAAACTAAAGTTCTGAGAGGCTGATTACTTGCCTATGCTAAGGTCTCCCTGACCAATAGCCTAGGCCAGTGGTCGGCAAACTGAGGCTTGTGAGTCACACACGGCTCTCGAGCCATGGTTTGCCGCTCTGTGGACTAATGAGTTTGCCGACCACTGGCCTACGCTATAGGTTTGTCTGAAGGCAAATTCACAAAGGGTTGAGAGTTGGTAAATTTCTGAGCAATAATTTGGATTCAGAGGAGAGCTGGAGGACTCATGAGAGGAAAGAGAATAGCAGTTGCTGGGCAAAGCCCTCCCCGCTGATAGCTTTGGACTGACAGGGTGACAAGGGGAGGGGCAGTGAAGAAGGAGCATGATGTTGACCAAGAGAGAAGATGGGGGGACGGGAGACAGAGAGAGAGAGGGAGAGGGAGGTGTAAATGAGTATGCACCAGAAGTGATGGGAACAAGTCAGTTTTAGTTTTAAGACAGGAAAGCTCTATCATTCACACTGCCTGTGCGAATAGTCAAGCCACTTGGAACATCTGAGCACCAGAAGTAAGCTCATCTGAAGAATCTCTGTCCAACTTCATCAAATCAGTAAAGATCAAAGCAGTTATTAGATGTGAGGGATTGTTATAAGTTGCAAAAAATTATAGAAAAAGATCCCTGCTGAGGTACGTAAGGTATAGGGAGAGCCAAATGTGTGCGTTCAAGAGTAGGTCAATTGAGATACAATTTAATTTGTGAAAAACCACAACAAAAAAAATGGGTAAATTGATAACTTTTTAATAAAATTTAAACTTCTACTCTTTAAAAGATAGTAAAATAATGAAAAGGAAAGCTACATGCTAGAAAAAAAAATATATCTCAATAATCCTGTATAATAAAAGGCTAATTACTAATTAGCAATTAGACTGAATGGCGGAACTGGAACAACCAAACAACCAGCCGCTATGATGTGCACTAGCCACCAGGGGGTATGCAGAAAACATGGCAGGCATCAGCTGTGGTGGGATGCTGGAGCAAGTGAGTGGGGCACCAGACCAAGGAGGGCACCAGTTGCTGTTTCAGTAACCTCTGGTGGTTACTGAAAATTCTTTGTTCCCATGCTGTGGTCCCTCCCGGCACTTGCACTTGCTGCTGGCACCAGTCCTGCTTGCACCCACTGCTGGTACCCTGTGCTGGTCCTGATCGCTCAGCGCCATCAGCAGGTGTGAGTGGCAGCTGATGGCCCTGATTACCCCTGAGGGCTTCTCCACCTCCTCCTGCTCCTGAGAGGCAATCAGGGCAGCAGCCACTGCTTGCACTGGCCCCAATTGCTCTGTGCCATCAGTGGGTGCAAGCAGGGCCAACAGACAGAGGTCTTGGGCCATGGCAGGAGGGGTTGTGCAGGGGCATGAAGGATGGGTCAAGACCTGCACCTGTGCCTACCACAGCCTCATAGTTCCTTTCAAGATGCATGAATTCATGCACTGGGCCCTTCATTCAATAATAAAAAGTAACCCAATTAAAAAAAAACAACAAAACCAGAAAATAAATTCTAAAACTTAAACAAATGGGCAAAAGTTTTGAGCAGGAATTTTACTAATGGAGGCAGAAGAATGTCAAAGAAGTACATGAAAAGATGCTCAATATCATTAGCCATTAGGCAAATGCAGATGAAGAAGAAATTGAGACACCACTATGATCTATTTGAATAGCTAAAATCCCCCAAACTGACAATGGCAAGTGCTGGGAAGAATGCTGAGCTGAAACTTATATATTCCTGGTAAGAATATGAAATGATACAGCCTGTGTAGAAAAACAGGTGGCAGCTCCTCATAAAGTTAAATATAACACTTATCTTACCACTCAGTAATCCTACTTCTAGATATTTACCCAAAAGAAATAAAAATTATGTTCACACAAAAACCTTTAAGCAAATGTTAAGGCAGTTATAATTACATGTAAGTAACTGCCTAAAACTGGAACAAACCCAAATGTCCTTCAGATGGTAAATGTATAAACAAAATGTGGTACATTTGTACAATGCAATACCTCTCAGAAATAAAAAGGAGCGAATCGGTCTATGAAAAACAGTATGAAGGGCCCTTAAAACATTAAAGACAGAACAACCATATGGTCAAGTAATCTCGTTTCTGGGTGTATAACCAAAAGAAGTGAGAAAGGACCTTGAAGAGACACTTGCATACCCATGTTCAAAGCAACATTATTCCAATAACCAAGAAACCTAAGTGTCCACTGACAGATGGACAAAGCAAATGTGGCACATTCATACGATGGAATATTATTTACCCTTCAAAAGAAGGAGATCCTGTTATGTGCTACAACCCAGATGAACCTGGAGGACATTACACTAAGTGACATAATCCAGTCACAACAAGCTAAATAACACATGGTTCTCCTTACATGAGGTGCCTAACGCAGTCATACTCTTCGGAACAGAAAGTAGAATGGTGGTTGCCAAGAGGATAGGGGGAGGGGAAAATGGGAAGTTGTCCAGAGGACACAGAATTTCAGTTTTACAAGATGAAGAGATCCTGTAATGTGCATGTAATGAACATTATTGTACCGCACCCTTAAAGATGATTGTGTATTTTTTTACAATAAAAAAGGAAGTGAACTACTGATACACTGATACTACTGACGTAACATGAATGACCCTTAAGTGCGTTATGCGAAGTGAAAGGAGACAGACTTGAGGACATTCTAGGAAAAGGTAAAACTATAGACACAGAAAACGGGCCAGTGGTTCCCAGGTAGTAGGGGCTGACCACAAAGGGGCACCTGTTCTACATCCTGGTTATGGTGCCGCTGGTAGTCACATAACTGGATGGTCCAGGCTCTCCCGTTTGCTTCCCAAGGACCGCTATGATCTAGTATGAAGATATTTTTCTCAATTTTATTCTCATAATTCCACTTTGTGTCCTCCTGGTTCACAGGTCGATGCTCAATCACTGAGTCACACCGACTGGGCTAAAATCATCAGTATTAAGTAATACTTTTATCCCACCTGGGTTTATCAGTCAAGTAAGATCATGTTATCTATGTTGCAAAATTTGTCAGCAAAATACCCAACTGGGTATAATAAAATTTTCATAAGTAATCTAAACTTAATTGTCAGGAGCAAGCAAATTAAATAAGTGTAATGATATAGGAAGTTTCTTTTATGTTAAATCTTTTTTAAAATATATTTTATTTACTTTTTTACAGAGAGGAGGGGAGAGGGATAGAGAGTTAAAAACATCGATGAGAGAGAAACATCAATCAGCTGCCTCCTGCACACCTCCTATTGGGGATGTGTCCACAACCAAGGTACATGCCCGTGACCTGAATCAAACCTGGGACCTTTCAGTCCACAGACCAACACTCTATCCACTGAGTCAAACCAGTTAGGGCTATGTTAACTCTTTAGCAATAATTATACAGGGTGGGAGCAAAAGTAGGCTTACAGTTGTGAGTACACAAAATACAGAGTTTATTCTTGTACTATTATTTATTAATTATTATATTATTTTCCATACAAGCAACTCTAAACCACCTTTTGCCACACCTTGTATTGTATGTGAACTTAAATAGCATTCTCAATCTCTTTGTAACTTGAAGCTTTAGAGTTTTATGAAGTTAAATAATAAAAATTATTGAATATCTAGAAATTTCCAAATAACATAAAATACTGAAACAGTAACTGTTAGATAAGTCTAAGGTAACCTACTATTGACCTCTTATTAAAGAGAAACTAAATGATACATTTAGATCTGTTAATAAAAACATTTTGTGCTTTGCCAATAAAAGAACCTATGTTTTTAAAGGTTAAGAAATAGATTAATAAATTTGCCAATAAAAAATGCTAGTTACTTACATTTTGCCTTAGAATTAAGGTTCTAAGGGTTACAAATTTTAATTAATATGGAAGGAAATGATGTGAGTTTTTAGAAAGGAAGGCATTAAGCATGGAAATACATTTTTGGGGAATTAGTAGAAGGTGATTTGTCCTAAAAAAAAAAAGGTTGGTTATTTCAAATTGAGTAAGAAGAGACAAACTAAGAGGGACTAGGAAAGCTGTAGAAGTTTTGTGGAAAAGGAACCCTGAGAAAGAAAATTTTAAGTATGATTAAAATAGATTTAATAGAGTAAGTTAATTTAAGTAGCCACAATAAGCTAATCCAGAATTAGAGTTTTTTGTTTGTTTGTTTGTTTAAATTTCTTTATTGATTAAGGTATTACATGAGTTTGGTTCTTTTTCATGCTATCAAAAATAACAAAGTTTTTATATATTGTTCTGCTCCTGATGAGATGTTTTCTACCTACAAAGCAGGGAAAAAGCAAACATTATGCTCATACAGACTATGTATCTGGAAACTAAAAAATATTTTCAATGGAATGTAAAATGATTTTATTCTTCTAACCATGAACTCTGACCCCTTTCAGCAGGAAGGAGTCAGAAAGGTCTTCCCCCTTCTTCCTCAACATTGAGAAATGATTAAAAAAAAGAGGGAAGGGGAGAGGGAGGAATTGAAACTGAGGGTCCTTATGACTTTGATTAAATTTAGCTTTAAACTCTAGCTCTAGAAATCATATTTATTTCTCTTTCTATACCCTTAAAAGACCTAGCCTTTGCCTGGATAATCAGCAACCCCGAAGCAGCAGAAGACAATAGCCTGGATCTGACTAATGATCACAAAGTCTGGACTCTGGCAGGCTAAAGATAACTTCTTCACCTATATTGTGTTTCAGTTCCTAGGCTCGAAGGTGGAACCATTTCCTGGCTACTTTCCCAAGAATCCAGACAGAGGGACACAGGAGCAGACTTCAGAATTGTCTTTAAGACCTGAAGAAATGATTTTTTATCATTACCTTATCTCCAACCAATCAGCTTCCAGCATGACCCCAAGCTCTCACAGTATCTTGAGATTTTCCCTATGTAATCTGTAACCTACATGCCATCAGCAAGTTTTGGCTTTTGAGCATTTGCTCCTGTTCTCCTGGATGATACCATCTATTGCTATATATAAAAGCCTAAGCGACTGTTATAACCAAATGACTGGAACAACTGGTCGATCAGTCACTATGATGTGCACTGACCACAAGGGGGCAGACACCCAATGCAGGAGCCACCCCTGGTAATCAGTGCACTCCCATAGCAAACCTTCCCTGTAACCTCCCCCGTCCCAAGTCCAGCAGGCCCCATCTGGTAGGCCTCGGATGACCTGGACCCGATCAGGACTGGGCGAGACAGACCTGATAGGCCATGATCACTGGCCAGGCCCAGGGACCCCACCCATGCATGAATATCATGCACCGGGCCTCTAGTTCATAATAAAATAGCCAAGTATTTCTACACTGCAGTTCTCAGGGTCTAGTGCTTGGCTCTACTAGCACAAAGTGGATGAGCTTTTTCTTTTTTGTAACCATTTCAAGCACTGTCTTTCCCTCCAGGTGGAAGGGCATGTGGCTCTCTAGGTGAGTGTCAGTATTCAGGCGCATGCCTTTCAAAGCTGGCTCTGTGAGAGGAGGATGGCCTTTGCAAATAAAGGAGAGCGTGTATCTAGCTAGGTGCAGGAATAATGACTTCATTGCTAGACCTGCCTCCATCATAGCTTCCAGATCTCTCAAGGTGGAATTCTTGCTGCCATGAAGTAGTGAGCTATGAGTGGCTGGGCTAAACCTAGTCTACTTTGTGTGAGTTTTGATGGACATATCCTGTCTTCCCCCCTGAGCGAAAGCTTCTGGAGGACAGGGTTCACACTTGGTTCAGCTTTGGGCTTCCTAAGGATCTAGCATCTGCCAGACAAATATTTTTGAATAAATGAATTTATAAAAACATACTATCAATACGGTTGCAATGACCCTGGTTATTAATTAAGTGGAAAGGAACAAAGGGAAGGCCAAATGGACACATGCCTAGTAAAGCCTGGGTGTCATAGGGAAGGTGTGTGTTTGTCAGTCACACCTGGGAACAGGGCACTAGTCAGGGTAGGTGTGACCACAGCAAGCAGGAGGGGGAGCAGATTTGATATACTTAAGGTCCTAAGCAAAGGAGTACTTTCTCTTGCCCCTTGGTGTGTTGCACCTGACTCCTGGCTTGCATAGCTCTCATGCTCCTGCATTTGCCCACATGGCCCATGGCCTAGAACCATGGTTGGCAAAATATAGCTTGCGAGCCATATGCGGCTCTTTGGCCCCTGGAGTGTGGCTCTTCCACAAAATACCACAGCCTGGGCGAGTCTATTTTGAAGAAGTGGCGTTAGAAGAAGTTTAAGTTTAGAAAATTTGGCTCTCAGAAGAAATTTCAATCGTCCTGTTGATATTTGGCTCTGATGGCTAACAAGTATGCCGACCACTGGTCTAGGACACCAGACACAATGGACTGAGGGAATGCTACCAGCCTGATGTGAAACCGGACCCAGCTTCACCAATGGAGTGGAAACTCTGATCTCTGGCTATGCTTCTAGCTCTGCTGAATCCCCAGCTGCTCCTTTTCCAGGACTGATTAAGGAAAATGCGATGTTGGAAACCGATATAATTCCACACAAATAAAAAGCACTCTTTCTCCCATGTGAGTCTCAGAAAGTTCTTTTTTTCAAGTTATGGTAAGGACCCAACCATGAGCACCCAGTGGGGAAGGTGATTCCCCATTTCCACCGGTGGATACCCCATTTTCCTTGCCACACTATGAGTGCATTAGATAACCGAGCACTTTTGCTTATGAAAAAAAAATGAAATTAGTGATGTAAAGAGCTTTTCTTTACAAAAAATAAAAAATAAAAAAATTAAGTAGCCATAAAACTACGGAAAAAATCTGGGCATGGAAGTAAAAGAGAAGGTCCGGAGTGATCAGGAATACGTTACCACGTCTGACTTGGTGGTGAACTTCTGAGTCTGTAGACTTTCTAAGGCCATCCACTTCACTGGCAGTTTGGCACCTGTCTTGTTGTGGACACTGTAGTATTCTTTATCATACATGTCTCTGGCAAGACCAAAATCGGCAACCTTGACAGTGAATTTTTCATCTAGCCTACAGGAAGGACACATATTGTTACTGGTGGCTGGAATAAAATCATTTATTGTGATGCTGAATTGTCTATAGAACACGTGGCTTCTGTGCTGGAAACCCACAAATCTGTAACTTCAGGTGGGAGGATTCTAGCCTCAACTGACTAACACCGTATTACAATGGGATTCTTGAGTAAAAATACTTGACATTCACATTACAAGTTTAATGAGCTAAGGAAGGAGATCCTGTGATGTTATGTAAGAAAACTCGTTTTGCTTTCGTAGATCTGAAGTAATAAAATTGGGCCCTCCACCCGATGGCCTTGGTTGCTAAATCAAGCATGCCAACTGAGGAACCAAAGTTATCGCCGGTAATCACTTGTCCACGTATTACCGTTTAGTTGCATAGGGGAGACATGACCAGGCCCTCTTATCTTACTTTTTCATTCTCAAATGGGCTAGGATAGTACGTAACACTTATATTGAGTATATCCCACCACTGAGGTAACAGAGAAACAGGACACATAGTAAAGCATCTAAGAAAAACAGCAAGTTTGAACCAAGTCAATTTCTGCTCTCTGAGGCTGTGCAGCCCTTTGTGTAAGTGGGCTTTTATGTTGTCACAGTGACCAAAACCAAGGTAGGAAATGAACAGCACAGCTCTCCCGTTCGCATGTACTGTAAGGCATGAATCAGTGCTCTGCAAGGGAAAGCACTGGGTCGATTACAAACTGTTGTCTACTGTGTTATTCAGCCCAGGCAGCCGGGCACAAATGAAGTTCTTTGAATTCATTCCCAAATGCCACTCCTTGTAGGCTGATTTCAAACCCACTCTTGGGAAGTGACAATATGTTGGTCTTTGTGTCATCAGCTCTCTCCGTTTCGCTGTAAAAGGCTGAAGATCAAACTCTACCTCCCAACACTAATGCAGTGTGAAACCACAACACTTTTGGAAAGGAAAAAGGAGGAAAGCACAGAGCAGCTGTTAAGACCCCCTCTGGAGCATCCCTTTCTTTTAAATTCTCCATTTGACAGAGACTGAGGGCCCCTCCTACATCCCAGCGCTTACATGTGGATTTAAAACTATAACGGAAATCAAGGACTTTTGTACGAAAAGCAGGGGAAACAGAGTCCTCCTTTTCGCTTAATGTGTACGGCGGGCACTGTGATTCTTATACTTACATACAGTTCCTTGCAGCCAAGTCCCTGTGGACAAACTTTTTGCTTGCGAGGTATTTCATGCCTTTGGCTACTTGAAGACCAAAGCCAATAAGATCTTTTACGGTTGGGTTCTGCAATCAAAGAGAATTGGAAACTCATAAACTAAGCATCTACTGTTCTAGCGAGGACCTCAGGATCCTGAAATGCTTATAAGAACGCCCTGTTGATTGATAATAGCAGCCATTTATTAAGTGCCTACTGTTTGCAAAGCACCAGGCTAGATGGTTTATAAATGTGGGCTAATCCTCATGCACTTCTGGAAGGCAGGGGTTCCATTTTACAGATGCAGAACTGGAGGGGTTTTGAAACGTGGGCTTTGTAATGATCAGGTGTGGTGAAGCCCACGGATGGGAGACCACCGCCGCGGAAAAGAGAGTTTGTTCTAAGCTGCAGGAGGCGGGGGCCTGCCCTGCCATGCAAGCCTGCACAGGGAAGCACCAGGCGTGGCCAGGAGACAGGTGAGGCCTCATTGCGGCTTCTGTGGGAAGAAACTGGCAAGCAGGGTAAGCAGGCTTGGACTTGGGCAGCTGAGATAATTTCAGTGGGGGGCTCAGAGCATAGGCTGTCCCTAGTTGTCTGGTGCTTGGCCCTTAAGTGAGCAGGGCAGGGCGACAGGGCCTAGAGTGTGAGAGGCCTGTGAAGGAGGTGGTTGGGATTTGGGCTCTGGATTGGCTCACCTCTGAGAAGGTGAGTTGTTCACCATCTCTGGGAATTTGCTAGCACTGTGTGTGTGTGTGTGTGTGTATGTGTGTGTGTGTTGGGGGAGGGGGCAGTGAGGCCCTAGAAGTTAGAGCCTCAGAAATACATGGTTAGCCCTAGCTGCTTTGGCTCAGTGGATAGGGTGTCAGCCTGCCGACTGAAGGGTCCCGGGTTCAATTCTGGTGAAGGGCACATGCCTGGATTGTGGGCTCAATCCCCAGTAGGGGATGCGGGAAGCAGCCAATAAATGATCCTCTCTCATTGATGTCTCCATCCCTCTCTCCCTCTTCCTTCCTTTCTGAAATTAAAAAAAATAAAAAAGGAAATACACTGTTAATACAGGAAATTCAGAGAGAAATAAATCACCCACACCACTCAGATGGTAAGTGGTGGAATTAGGATTTTAAACTAATCTTTTAGGCTCCAAAGCCCACACTGTAGCCAAGTCACTCCCATCAGAACCCCTTCCACAATTGCTGAAGCACAGCTCACAGCTCCAGGGGCCTGGACCCACACAGAGAACAGGAACCTCATTCTCTAGGAACTCCCTCCACAGCACTGTGTGGACAGTGGGAATGTCTTTTGTAACCATAAGAACTACTAGAGGCCTGATGCACGAAATTCATGCATGGGAGGTGGGGGGGGGGGGGACACGACACTTCAACCCAGACTGTACCCCCTTCAATCTGGGACCCCTTGAGGGACATGCAACTGGCAGTCGGATATCTCTTTCACAATCCAGGACAGCTGGCTCCCAACTGCTGCCTTCCTTCCTGATTGCCCCTAACCACTTCTGCCTGCCAGCCTGATCACCTCCTAACTTCTCCCATGCCAGCCTGATTGATGCCTAACTGCTCTCCTGCCAGCCTGATTGTCCCTAACTGCCCTCCCCTGCAGGCCTGGTCTCCCCTACTGCTCTCCCCTGCAAGCCTGGGTCTCTTCCAACTGTCCTTCCTTGCAGGCCTGGTCACCCCCAACTTCCCTCCTCTCAGCTTGGTCATCCCTAACTGCCCTCCCCTGCAGGCTTGATCATCCCCAACTGCCCTCCCTTGAAGACCTTGTTCCTCCCAACTGCCCTCCCCTGCTGGCCATCTTGTGGTGGCCATCTTGTGTCCACATAGGGGCAAGATCTTTGACCACATGGGGGCAGCCATCTTGTGTGCTGGAGTGATGGTCAATCTGCATATTACTCTTTTATTAGATAAGATAGAGGCCTGGTGTACGAGTGGGGGCCAGCTGGTGTACGATCAGAGGGGGGCTCCCTTGGGGCCTGGGGCAGCCTGGGTGAGAGGCCTGTGGTGGTTTGTAGGCTGGCCATGCCCCCTGGTGATCCCAGCAGAGGCCCTGATATCTGGGGTTTATTTATCTTCTACAATTGAAACTTTGTAGCCTGGAGCAGAGCCAAGCCTTCTGCTCCCTCCACGGCAGCAGCCATTTCTGTTAGGATTTATGCATCTTCTATAATTGAAACTTTGTAGCTTGAAGTGCAGGCCTGTGCCAGCCAGTGTGTGCAGAAAGCTTGGCTTCTTCCATTGCTGGGGACAACCCTAGCCTCCCTCCTGCTCTCTCCAGCTCTGTGGCTGCCATCACATTAACAAAATAAAAAGAAACAGATGAAATTAATTTTCACACTATATTTTTCAATCCAACATATCCAAAATATCATTGTAACATGTAATTAATATAAATAATTATTATCAATAATATTTTACTTTTTTATGCTAAATATTCAAAACCTGGGATGTATTCTACACCTACAGCATAGCTCAATCGGGACTGGCCATATTTCACATGTAGCTCATGGTCACAGCATGGGACCTCTCAGGCCTACTGCATAAGAAGATGATAAGTACAATGAGGAAAAATAAAGCAGTGGAGAGGAGACAGATGGAGGCAGGGGGCTGGGTTGTGTCAGTTGCAATTTTAGAAAGATCAGGAGAGTCCCATTTTGAAGATGCTATCAGAGCGAAGGCTGAAATTGAGATGTGTGGATATTTTGGGGAAGAGTGGTTCAGGGAGAGGAAACACAGCAAGTGCAGAGGTAGGAGGGTGACTGGCCATTTTGAAGAATAGCAAGGGACTCATTTGTAATTAATTCTTCAATGTTTTTCATTGCTAACACTCCATGTGACTTGTGGCTAATTACACTTCTATGTCTCCTGTGTTGTGCTATTTCTGGCTCATATTAGGCCCTCAAAGATGACTAAATGTACCTATCAGGGGGATGGAGCAAGGCTGTTTGCAGGGAAGCTAAGCATCATTGTCCCTGGGGAAACCCTTCTAGGCGTCACAATCTTCCCTCCAGGATAGAGAATTTTCAGGTACAAGTGAACCAAACCAGCTCTCATCCATTGGAATGGTGTTAACACTGTACGTGCACTTCTTTGGCTAGAGCGCTTTGAAAAGGTTCAGCCCAGGCACATTTGGAAAGACTGGCTGGCTTCCAGCTAGTTTATAGGTTAGTAAGCCAGGAAATGCACTTACATGCGTCTCATTTCTGATGAAGTTTCGGAGATCTCCGTGTTTCATGTACGGCAGGACCACCAGCGGAGACCCCTCACTTCGAAGGCAGATTCCCAAGAGTGACAGCACGTTGGGATGGCTGAAGTCTTTCATGATGATCCCCTCAGTCAGAAACTGGGACACTTCTCCTATGTCAGTGATCCCTGAGAAATCCAGTGGTGAAGACATCGATTTCATTTCAAAAGAAAGAATACTTTGTCATGTTCAGATAGGGAGAGCGATGGCATATAAAACCATAGGATTAAAAATAAATAAATAAAACCATAGGTTTCTATCTTGTCCCGCTGCCTCATCCTCAGTGTTTTTTTTTTGTTTTTTTTTAACAATCCATCTGCGTGAATGATGTCACCCTGCACTGTGCTGTCAAGCCATCACCTTGATTCATTTTTTGTAAGCTAGAGTCTAGCTAGCAGTCCGTTTGTCTGACACAGAAAAGGAGAGGAAAGCTGGCCAGTCCATTCGGTAGTGACCTTTAGGGCAGGGGCTGGCAACTTTTATGTAGAGCCAGATAGTAAATCTTGTTTGGCTTCGTGGGTCATATGGTTTCAAATGCTCAGCTCTGCCATCACAGTGCAGAAGCAGCCACAAGAAAAAAGGTGTCTAAGTCTCAATAAACTTTATTTTGGAAAACAGGTGGCTGTCCATAGTTTTCCAACCCCTGGACTGGGTGGATTTGAAGATCAATGGTGGTCATGTATCTAAACAGATTTTTCCCCCTAATAGTTTCTAACCATTTCCAGATAGAGATCGTGAGGGCTTGACACAAGTCAGCATTACGAGGAATTAACAAGCTTTAATTTACTAATCTGACTAATGTCAGTCTCAGAGGTGATATATATATATTTTACAAACATAATGCATTCTGGAACCAGAAAGTCCAAGAGATCAGTGCACACCAGGAGACAGAAAGATTCCTGTGTGACAGGATTGCTCTTTGTCAGTGGGCAGTAGTGCTCTCCTGTGAGTCAAATTTATTGGAAATAATAAATAATATATATAATCCATCCAATGTGTAGTTAGGTTTTATATAAACTTTTCCTTAAATGACCCTGTGATCAGACTTCCAACAAAATCAACCATGTAGAACACTACTTAGCATGAAGATTTACATGTCAAAAAGGCTGAGATCTGACAATATGTATCTTGCAGAGGAACCTTTAACTTGTGCATTTCAGTTTATTATTCCAATATAAATTTGTGATATAGCTGGTTAACATTTTTCTGGATGTAGCAAATTGTAAGCACAAATTTGGAAATTTAGAAAAGGCAAGTACATGGACTTGGCATGTGAGATCTGTCAGTAAAGGTGGAGCCAGGGAAATACTAATATGAGGAGCACACTGGGTTATACAAAACAGTAATTTATGCCATAATTTTATGGTCATCAGTAAAATCTTAGTTTATGCTTGAGAGCAGTGCCTGTTTTTCAAACTGAGTGGCATTCCATTTAAAAAAGAGTTTCTCAGTAATGACTAAAATTAAAAAAAAAAATTCTAGCATTAAAAGCAGGATAAGTTTCACTTGTTTAGAAAGTTTGTTTACGTGGAATATCTCATTCCCCAAAAATGCTGATAAGTGAGATATTACCACATTTACAACTTTTCAATTTTCTGCCAACATATTTTTTTTGCCTGTTTGTCTTATTTCATTAAAAAAAAAATCTTTTTAGTAGAGGTTGTGGTTAAACAAATAATTATAGTAATGCCTCTGGGTAAAATGAATCATTATTGTTGTATGTGCCAACATGCTTCCAATAGTTTCCATGAATGTCACTTACAAAATAAATATTATAAGTCAAACATAGTTAAGCGATACTCAGCTCATCCAAGACTCATTTCTCCTACACTCTAACTTATGAGAGCCCTCAGATAATTTCTGAGGAGAAATCTCAATAGGAATTTAGACCAAATTTTCAGCAATAGATCCATAATTCCAGAAGTAGCTGATTTTTCCACAAGGGAAAAAACAACATTTAATTATGAACTATTAGCCCATGTAGCTCAGTGGTTGAGCAATGACTATAAACCGGTAGGTCATAGTTCGATTCCTGATGAGAGCACATGCCCGGGTTGCAGGAGGCAGCTGATCAGATACTCTTACATCATTGATGTTTCTATCTCTCCCTCCCTCTCTGAAATCAATAAAAACATATTAAGAAATAAAATGTAACTTACTATTCAAGGATTTCACAGCACAATGGATTTTCTTGTCATTGCTGTCCAACAAAGTCCCATGATATACACACCCAAAATGTCCTACATGAAAGAGGGCATTTGGTCAGTGCTGCATTACTTTGAACTATGTAATAATTACTCACTAGGCACTTTGTGATCTTCATTTCCTTTTTTTGTACATGACCAAAGACTACATTATTTTGTCTACTTCTGATGAACAATATTGCTTGTGTGTGTGTGTGTGTATGTGTGTGTGTGTGTGTGTGTGAATGCAGGGTGGGATAAAAGTAGGCTTAGAGTAGTTTGTATGGAAAATAATACAATAATTAATAACACAAGAAAAACTTTGTTTTATGTAAAACACTTTAAAATTATTTTAAGGATCAAATATCATCTTTTGAATATGAAAATAAAGTTTTGCCTACATGAAGAAATAAAATAAGCTCTCTATATTCCAATAAACTGAAATGAGATAAAAAATGGTATCATTAGAAATAAGATCAGCATTATAGGGTAAGGATTTCCCCCATTAGTCACCAGTTAATGTGTCACCCAGGTTGGCTGAAAAGGAAAGGAAATTACTCAAATGAAGCAGATTCACTCTGAGTCATTGCACCCAGTTCTCTCTGGCTTCAGTCACTTCACCTTCCCAACAGTAGCCTTTTATCCAGGGGCAGTAATTCTCCCCGGAGGTGCCAAATGGCTGATAGCCGGGTAAGTCATCCCTTAATTAATTTCTGCAGCCGGCCAAGACTCCCCAATGCCTCCTATGTGAGTGTCAGGCATTAGTCTACCCTCTTATGATGCAAAGATGAAAAAATAAAATAAAATGAAGTCTATGATCTCAAGGGCTCACATTCTACCGGGGAAGCACATATCAATAACAGTTAATATTTATAGAATCATTAATGATTATTACTACATTAAAAGCAATGATTGCCATTTAGCACCTTTCCTGATTTAAAAAATATCTAATTTTATAACGCATAGAACGAGGACATAATTAGTGAGGCTACACACACTGGTGCAATTATTGGAATTTATAGGCTGGTGACAGCACTAAATTACTGACGTGAAACCTGTTTATGAACAGTGAGGCTACTATTGGGAAGGGGAGCAGGAAAAAATCTGGAGTGTGTGGCGGAGGAATGTGTGGGTGCTCTCACAGGAGAGTGGGAAGCCATGCTCCTGGGAGGCAAATGGTTGTGTCTGTGTGTTCTGCACCACGCTGGCAGGTACCCGTGCCACCTCCTGCAGCACAGACTGAAGAGAAGGGACAGAGGCCCTTCCGTGCCAAAGGCAAAAGCTTTTTAGGAAAAAGGGCAGAGTGCAGTTCATTTCCTGGCTTCTGCTTGGTTCCTCTCCCTGGTAAATATTTCCTTTAAGATGGTGTGCTCCGTTGTCTGGCTTACTACAAATACTCCTTCTTGTATAAAGAAACTGAAGTGCATTGTAGGTGTGATATGTAATGTGTCAGGCCAGGAGAATGCTATAAACTCCCCATCTTCCCATGCTGTCTGTCCAGCAGCATAACTCTTACAAACAAGGACCTCACACAGTCCCTGTTCCAGAGTAAAGGAAGGCTGGAGGGAGATGAGTGAAAATACTGGAACTGAAAAAACGACGTTTCAGAAGGAAGTAAACGGCATCTTGTAGGAAATTATAGTTTAATTAGGAAAAAGGTGAGGAAGGAATATGATTTCTTTTCTAATATGTTTGGGAAACTACTAAAAGGCCTCCAGAAACAGGGGCAAGTCCCCACGGATACCATGTGCAGACGTGTTTTTCTGCAGAACAGAAATCAAGCGCGCTTGTTATCACGGCTCTGTCAGCTGCTTTCACCATTGTCTACATTCCTAATCTGCAAAGGCAGGAGATAAAAGGCTTGCTGGAAAACCGTGTTCAACAGAGAGCTGAGTGGAAATACTTACCCCTTCCTATGACTTCATTGAAATGCACAATCAGGTTGCTGGGCCCGATCACTACGTGCTGGACGGCCTGGACCAGCTCTGGATTTAGAGCGCTGAGGTCAATGTGCACAGCATCTTGCAGTAATGGACTGGATATATCAGAGTTCCCACCGGTTAGGATGGGGGACAGGTCCATCAGAGGATATTGCACTTGTCTGCATGATCCGTTCTGAGATGAGTTAGGATAGTGATCTGCCAGATACAGTAGAATTATTAGAAAACAATAGCAGGATCTCACGGTGCGGACGATAACAGGGGCAGAAAATGGAATAAATAATGAACCCTGAATTTTAAAAGGAAAGAAATGATGGTTTTTATCATTGAATGAGGCTAGGAAGAGTCTTTACAAAGGAACTAGTTTAATAAAAATGGTAAGCTGGGAAAAGATGCTGGCATACATATAAAGTTTTTAATAAATTTCCTTTACATAGATTAAGCATTAACTTTGACATCTTGTTTATTCTCATTCCCTTCTACATTTCTCTTTTTATATATAATAAAAAGCCCTGTTTGAGGTTTACTTTTAATATACTATATTCTTAAACCTGAGAAGCTGCACAAGTAGTCTGCCTTTTGAGCGACTAGTGTTTATTGATGGAGTTAATTAATATTTCTCAAAACCCGCAGGAATTCCTGGCCAAGGAAAAATATGCATAGTGAAATATTTTACATACACATATTTAGAAGTATATTATATAATGGCTACATTTTTAGAACTGCAGCTTTTTACATTTGTGGTAAATTCTCTGTTGAATGATGATGGCAGCAAATTCAGTGTTATCACTGTTTAGAGACGATTGATTAGAATTAGAATTGGGGCCGGGACCGGTTTGGCTCAGTGGATAGAGCGTCGGCTTGGGGACTGAAGGGTCCCGGGTTCGATTCCGGTCAAGGGCATGTACCTTGGTTGCGGGCATATCCCCAGTGGGGGGTGTGCAAGAGGCGGCTGATCGATGACTCTCTCTCATCGATGTTTCTAACTCTGTATCTCTCTCCCTTCCTCTCTGTACAAAAATCAATAAAATACATTAAAAAAAAAAAGAATTAGAATTGGGTTAGTGTGCCATCATCATTGCTTGGTTGAGGGCACTTGGAAAGGAATCAGCATTCCATTAATTTGAACTTTACAACCAAAGCCCTTTAAGAGACTTGGGCAAGGTTCTCTATTGCAAGGGAAGCCTTTTCATTTCAGGAGTAAGGAATGGGGAGAGTGGGGGGTTGAGAATAAATTTCTTAATGCCAAACAGGGTAGAGAGGCCAACAGCTGCTTTCCCCTTTCCATTGGGAATCCATACACGTCAGGGAGAGGGCATCACACTACAGCAAGGTATCTGAAGATAAACTAAACAGGGTATTGAACTGTGTCAGTATCCTATTTAATAAAAGAGTAATATGCAGCTGAAACCGATTTGGCTCAGTGGATAGAGCGTCGGTCTGCAAACTGAAAGGTCCCGGGTTCGATTCCAGTCAAGGGTATGTACCTTGGTTGCGGGCACATCCCCAGTGGGGGGTGTGCAAGAGGCAGCTGATAGATAACTCTCTCTCATCGATCTTTCTAACTCTCTCTATCCCTCTCTCTTCCTCTCTGTAAAAAATCAATAAAAAAAAGAGTAATATGCAGATTGACCATCACTCCAACATACAAGATGGCTGCCCCCATGTGGTCAAAGATCCTGCCCCTATGTGGACACAATATGGCCAACAGAGGAGGGCAGTTGGGAGGGACCAGGCCTGCAAGAGAGGGCAGTTATGGGTGATCAGGCAAGTAGGGGAGGGCAGTTGGGAGGCACCAGGCCTTCAAGGGAGGTCAGTTGAGAGGGAACAGGCCTGCAAGGGAGAGCAGTTGAAGGTGATCAGCCCTGCAGGGGAGGGCAGTTAGGGGTGACCAGGCCGGCAGAGGAGGGTGGTTGGGGGCAAACAGACTGGCAGGGGAGCAGTTAGACATCAATCAGGCTGGCCTGGAAGTGGTTAGTGGGTGATCAGGCTTGCAGGCAGAAGCAGTTAGGGGCAATCAGGAAGGCAGGCAGGAGAACAGTTGGGAGCCAGCAGTCCTGGATTGTGAAAGGGATGTCCCAGATTGAAGAGGGTACAGGCTGCGCCGAGGGACAACCTCCCCCCACTACCCCAGTGCACAAATTTTGTGCACGGGAGCTCTAGTCCTATATGATAAAAGGCTACTATGCAAATTGAGCGAATGGTCACTATGATGTGCACTGACCACCAGGGGGCAGATGCTCAATGCAGGAGCTGCCCCCTGGTGGTCAGTGTGCTCTCAGACTGGGAGCACCGCTCTGTCAGAAGCTGGGCTCATGGCTGACAAATGCATCAGCAGTGGCAGGAGCCTCTCTTGCTTCCACAGCAGGGCTAAGGATGTCTGACTGATGGCTTAAGCCTGCTCTCCAGGGGAGCTGGCCTAAACTATCAGTCTGACATCCCCTGAGAGCTCCTGGACTGCGAGAGGGCATGGGCCAGACTGAGGGATGCCAGAGTGCACTTATCTTGTGCATCAGGTTTCTAGTTTAACATTAATGTGTGATTCTGGTGCAATGCCACCAAGAACACTAGGTCTGCATGAAAGACTGGTGAAGATATAGAGGAAAGTTTTATAGTTGCCTCTTCATAAGGTGCTGGCTGTGTGTTTCCTTTTTCTCTCTGGATGATCTCCTTCTGCCTGTTTTAGTTTTCCATGTTTCCAGGGAGCAGGCTCAATGTGGGAAAGAAGATGAAAGATGGAATTCAAGCTTGTTAGCAATGTTGACAGAGGTTTGGTGAGTAACGAAGTTGAAAGTAGATTAAGATTTTAATTTTTTAAATTACTTGTGAATTTTAATGATCTTAGATTAGAGCTATTAAAGGTGAGTATCTAAATATAAAAGGCTAAGTGACTGACCATCAGTACATCTGACCATCTGGCCTGTACATATGACATGTACTGGCAATTTAAAAAATAAATGTTGACTTGCACATGTGCAAGACATATTAAAATATTTTGTATTTAAATTTTATAATACTATCTATATATATAAAAGGCTAAGTGACCAAGTGTTTGTCCATCTGTCCATCCGACCAACTGGCTGGTACATATGATGCACATTGGCAATTTAAAAATAAATGTTGATTCGCGCATGCACGATACATACTAAAATATTTTGTATTTTAACATTAAAATACTATATTATATATACTATTTTGACATGTGATTTTTTACAATAACATAATTACTGCACAAATCTTTCTTCTAATTAATTTCCTTTCAATGTGCATGAATCTGAGCACTGGGCCACTAGTAAGACAATAAAAGGTCTAAACTTCAAAACTATAAACTGGATTTAATTTGTCCATGTTATTAAGGCCATGTATTTATAAATTTTTTTTATAAATTTATATTTAGAGAGAAAGAAAGGGAGAGGAGGGAGAGAGAGAGAGAGAGAGAGGGAGAAAGAGAGAAACATTGATGTGTGAGAGTAACATGGAATGGCTGCCTCCCGCACATGCCCTGACTGGGAACCACCAGGTACACAGGATGATGCCCAACCAACTGAGCCACACTGGCCAGGGCAGGACATGGATTTTTTGAAAATTAAATATATTCTATTGATTTTTTACAGAGAGAAGAGGAGATGGATAGAGAGTTAGAAACATCGATGAGAGAGAATCATTGATCAACTGCCTCTTGCACACCTCCTACTGGGGATGTGCCTACAACCCAGGTACATGCCCTTGACCGGAATTGAACCCAGGATCTTTCAGTCCACAGGCTGACTCTCTATCCACTGAGCCAAACTGGTTTCGGCTGGACATGGATTTTTTTAAGGGCAAATGGGATCAGGTAGGCAAAGGCAATATTTATGTGTATCTCTATAGAACTAATATAAACTTCAAAATATAAGAGAGAGTAAGGTTTAAATTAAAGTGTTAACCGCCTTATTGCTATTGTATGTACTTGTTTGGAGGAACCTCTAACTTTTCCTGTATCCACAACTGTCTGTGACTCATTTTATTTGCCCAATGGTAAATATTCAACCAGGGAAATTCTTGTATTTGACTCATATCCTGTAACTTCTAAAGGTAATGGAGCAGATACAATACAGACATTTTGCTTTTTTTATACCAAGAGATTTTAAATAAAACATTGTGAAATGTGCTGGTTAACCTAACCAATATTAAGCTTAGTGTTTTGCCAAGCAGAAGATGCTAACCCCTCCTGTTTAAATCACATACATGAAGGATTTTATTAAATAAGATTAAAAAATATATTGAAGTCCTGGAGTGCTGTGGGTAAAAGGCTGTGTACCAACAGTTCACTGAGAATCCTTCAAAGGAGTACTAAGTTATAATTTAAATGTTTGAGGATCAACATTTTGAGCTAAAAAATATAGCAGTGCCAAATTATATCTAAATAAGCATAAAAATAAATAAATATAAACTTTGTATTTTATCTTTTTCTGGGTTGTTAAAGAGCACCTCACAATTTCTTAACATTGCACTGAGATAATAAACACCTTACCTTTACTCAAATGATTTTAAAATTAATCTTATTACAGATTAAAAAGTACAAGTTGGAAGTTATGAAAACAGTCATGGGGATGTAAAATATAGTCATAGGGATTATAGTCAGTTATATTGTAATAGCTATATCGTGTCAGGTGAGTATTAGATTTATTGGGAGGATCCCTTCATAAGGTATATAATTATCTGACCACTATGCTGTACACCTAAAACTGACATAATATTGAATGTGAACTTTACTTGAAATATAAAAATTAACCTTTTTGTGAAAAGAAAACGACTGAAAACTTAACCTAATGTATACACGAGTACATTAAAAAATAAAAGCCCAGTAATTCTATGTCAAATTAAATACTTTCTTGGCCAAAAAAAGAAATAAATATTTCTTTTATTTATACAAGTAAAAGGGTAATATGATAATTAGACCAGACATCTGGAGATCCTTCCGAACAAATCCATGGTGCTAGGGGCCAAAGCAGAGGCAGTTAGGGGCAATCAGGCTGGCTAGGGGAAGGCAGTTAGGGTTTGATAAGGCTGGTAGGCAGGTAGGTGAGCGGTTAGGAGCCAGTGGTCCCAAGTTGTGAGAGGGGTATTCCACTACCGGTGTAGGCCTGTTGGGATCTGGCCTAAACCAGCAGTTGGACATCCTCTGGGGGGGGGGGGTCCTCAGATTGGAGAGGGTGCAGGCTGGGCTGAGGGATCCCCCCTCCCCCCAATGCACAAATTTTGTGCACTGGAACTCTAGTGTTTTAATAAAAACATAAAGGCAAACCCCCAAATAAACAACAATGCCACAAACTCACTGAGGTGTATGTTGAGGCATTTCTCAGAACAATAAACTGGAACATACCTTCCGGAAAAGTAGCTCGGTAGTCTACAGATTCATTTGAAACCATTTCCGTAGTTGGGCTCACACTTCTGGCACTTACAAGCCTATCCAAATGAGGAGTGTGTACTCTTGGATCATAGCGAACTAAATCACTGTCCAGATCTTAAAACGGAGAGAGAGAAAGAGCTCTTTAAGACTTGGCTACCAGGGGTCACAGCAGACCTTGACTGACAGATAAGAATCCACAGGCTTTATGGATTGCATATACAACAGCACACACGAACTTACAATTTTAAACTGTAATGATTGCATTCTTAAAGTAATTCCTTAAAATAAACAATTTTAAGAAATGTACCTTTAATGTGCTTCCTCCTTTTCAGCCACAGGAAAAGCCCAAGTAATAATAAGAGTATTGTTGATATTGTGACACCACCAACAATCAATCCCGTGAAATTCTGATCTGGTTGGACGATCACTTTTCCAAGGACAGTTGAAGAAACTGCTTGCTTCCACTAAAAATGACAAAGGAGAGCCATATTTAGCTGGCTATTTTAGAAAGCTATAAAATACACCACACAGTCTCTGTGGGCCCCAGGTAACACCTGGTTATTATTGTTCCATAACTGGCATGATTGCCTTCAGAGTAACAAGACATTCCTCAATTTTGCTTCAGTGTTTTAATAGGTAGGGGCTAATAATCTCTGAGTTACTTATATAATATTTAGCTGTTTGTACCTGTAACTAGGTATTAGGAATAAAAAAATAAGTACAAACAATCTTTGATCTCAAGTAACTGAGACATAAAAGGGAGATAAACACATAAACAGATGATTATAATACAATGTGATATATCCCACATTTATAAATAAATAGTAAGAAACAAAGACAATAGGATATTAATTCTGTCCTACAAGGTGGGAAGAAGGCAAAGGACACTTACCCTAAGGAGTAAATAATCGTTATTATGGGACAATAAAGTCTTAAAATGTTTTAATATCAGTTTGGATACATAGAGGAAATCTTTGAGGTCCCTTCCATCTCTAACATTGTATAATTGTTAGGATTTATGGACCTTCTAAATTCTAAACTATGATCTCATAATTCAGCCTTAATTTTTTTTTTTTTTTTTTTTTTTGGTAGTTTTCCATTTCGTAACTTTTTAGAAGATTTCAGAAACCCTTTACAAAGCACTCATTCTTGGATAAACAAAATGTGGTATACAACTGCATATTCAGCCTGGTATATCCATACAATGGAATATTCAGCCTTAAAAAGTAATGAAGTTCTGGCACATGCTATAACATGGATGAACTTTGAAGACATACTAATAAAATAAGCCAGAGCGCAAGCCAGTTTGGGTCAGTGGATAGAGCATTGGCCTGCAATCTGAAGGGTCCCAGATTCTGGGCAAGGGTATATGCCTGGGTTGTGGCCTTGATCCCAGTAGGGGGTATGCAGGAGGCCGCCAATCAATGATTCTCTCTCATTGATGTTTTTGTCTCTTTCACTTCTACCTTCCTCTCTGAAACCAATAAAAATATATTTAAAATAAGCCAGACACAAAAGGACAAATAGTATATGATTTCACTTATATGAAATATCTATCATAGAACAGGCAAATTTTTAAAGGCAGAAAGTAGGTTAGAGGTTACCATGGGTGGGGAAGAGGAGGGGATATGACACACGCTTACTGGTTCCAGTGCTCTCTTTGGGGTGATGAAAGACGTCTCAGCATTAGCTAGGGGTGTGGTTACATGGATGATAGTGTGAATGTAATTAATGCCACTCAATTGTGCATTGAAAATGATTAAATGGCAAAAATTGTTATATATATTTTACTACAACTTTAAAATACTAATAATGTAATTACCCCAAACCAGTTTAAATGTGTGAACTGTATGGTATGTGAGTTAATCTCAATAAAGCTCTTCAAGAAAAAAAAAAAGATGCAAAAAATAAAATAATTCACTCTAATTCCAGGTTATTAATTTAGCTGTCTGCATGAAGAAGTTACTGTAAAAATAGTTTAATTTCTATTTTATTTTGTCCAGTGCATACATACTGTACATATTCTTTTGCTTATGTGGCCTATGCATTTGGTATCTCTGTGGAAGGCAACAGCATGTTGGATCTGGCCTCCCAGGGTGGTCAGAGGTAGGGGCAGGGGCAACCTTGGATATGTCTGTATTCATCCCTGGACCAGATTTTGGCAAGAGTATGGCATGACGCAGAGCGAGTGTGGCCGGGAAGGACTTTTGAGAGCTACCCCCTCAGGCTTGGGAAGGAGACAGCGCAACAAAAACCTCACTATTTCTAAAATAACAACCAGGAATCAAGGCTGAGCTGATGAGCCAAAGCTAACACACAAACGAGTTTAATGATTTATTTTAGGCTTGCGAGTGACATAATTGCACCAGCATCTTTATTTACATCAGGAGAGGAATGCAGGGATCCCACCTCTATATTTAGCTCGCTGTTCAGCTTCAGCAGGTCATTGGGGACCGTGCATAAAACAGCTTCAGAATGAGAGTGGATGTTCTCACAGCTCTTATTACCAACTTTTAACACTTCACCTTGCACAGCTTCAGGGTCAATGTCATTGCCCTGGAAGGAAGAAAAGAGGCTGTTAACACTTCACAGTTCTGCAGGGAACACTAACAATTGTGGAGGAACATAAATACACTGCAAACACAGGCCATGCTGTTCGCCAGAGCACATGAAACCCTGTGTGCGATCCTCCTCTCATGGGAATGCCAGGCGGCTGAAAGAAAGCACGATCGTTTTAGGGCAGGAATTGTTTAGGAATCACAGCATGTAGCTTTCCACCGAATTGGATGTTAGAGAAAAGGAAAGAGAATTTTGGTTCACATCCTTACATCTAATGACCTCTTAGCCATAATCACCCCATTCATGCTTTCAGGGGGTATTGATGGCTGGCAAAAAGCAAGCAAGACAGAGTCTTAGCTGTTGTGCTGCCTAATGCAGGGAAAATTCAGCGTGGGCTTCACCTTTAGGATCACAATGAGCATTTTATAAAATACTGGTGCATCGAGGGACTCTGATTTAACTCATCTGTTAATACATTCCTGACATCCTTGAGTTGGGCAGTTTGCTTTCATCCTTCTCGCACAGTTAAATCTTATACAGGAGTGAATTTATTGTTAAAGGAATTCCTGTAAGATGCCATGTGACCCTCATTATGATTTGAGAGCCTGGCTACATTATTTTGAACAATTAATTATATACACTGAGTGGCCAGATTATTATGCTCTCTGAACGCATAATGATCTGGCCATTCAGTGTATATCATCATATATAAGAAAAGGCTAATATGTAAATTATTCCCTCAACCAGGAGTTCCACCAGTAGGCAGGCCAGCCAACCACCCATGTCCCCTACCTGTGGTCATGTTGGCTGGACCCCACCCATGCACGAATTCATGCACCAGGCCTCTAATATACATACATATATATATATATATATATATATATACACACACACACACACACACACTGAATACACTGAGTGTCCTGATTATTATGATCTCTGAATGCATAATAATCTGACCACTCAGTGTATATCCTATGATATATAATGAAAGGCTAATATGCAAATTGTTCCATCAACCAGGAGTATGACCAGCAGGCCACCCAACCACCCATGTCTTCTCTCCCTGGCCAGGCTGGCCGGACTCCACGCATGCACGAATTCATTGCACTGGGCCTCTAAAATATATATATATATATATATATATATATATATATATATATATATATTTATATATATGCACTGAATACGCTGAGTGGCCAGATTATTATGTATTCAGAGATTATAATAATCTGGACACTCAGTGTATTTACGTGAGGATTTAAAAAATTGTTCTATTTGACATATTTAGCTAACTGAACTTGCCATCAGGCATTTATAAGATATTAACGTTTTTTGAAGAAACCAACCATGAGCATGGGAAAGAAGTAAAAACAGAGGGGCGATCTCTCACCCCCACAATTAATGAGCACAGTTATTTATTAAAACAGCTTTTAAAATAAATAAACCTGGAGTTTAAGAAAAAAGAGAGACAAGCAAACCCTATCTTTATGCTATTTCTAGGGGCACTACGTGTACTCCATCGAACCAGGCCAGCCACACGGAGCAACATAGAAGCACACAAATCTAATGAGTCACTCTGGAGCTCCACATGACAACTTGTTGGTTAGGCTGAGGAGGGCTAAAGGCACTTGCATATTGGAGGGGACTCAGGGAATGATAAAGAAAAAGATGAAAGAGCTGGAGGATTAGATTTATGAGAGAATGACTAAAATGTGTCTTGCTTGCTTAGAGAATACCAGCAGCTGGGGGAGGGAAGGACACACTGCATTTACATTCCCCGCACTTCCGTTAGGCTCAGGACCTCCTTGGCTGTTGCATAAAGGCTTCTCTAAAACAAAAAGAGATCACACAGCCACACAATGGAACCCCTTTTCATCTGTGCCTGCCACGGAACACAGGATGAGCAGTGACTTATATGAGACATCACTATTAGCCTTGTATGTTCAGTAATTACCTTAAAGATCTATAACCCAAGATGTCACCAGAGTGATCCTGGCAGCCCACTACCCTATAGCAGAGGGGCCTGTGTCAGAAAAAACCAGGAATAGTTGTAGGCTATTTTTTTTTTTAAAGAAGGACCTCTTACCCTTTAAAATATATATATATTTTATTGACTTTTTACAGAGAGGAAGAGAGAGGAATAGAGAGTTAGAAACATCGATGAGAGAGAATCATCTATCAGCTGCCTCTTGCACACCTCCTATTGGGGATGTGTCTGCAACCAAGGTACATGCCCTTGACTGGAATCGAACCTGGGAATCGAAGGGTCAGTCCGAAGGCCGACACTCTATCCACTGAGCCAAACCAGTTTTGGGTAGGCTACTTTTTATCGTTTAAAACAAACATAGCTTTATGGAGCCGTGGGAAAAAGGTATATATTTTTAGAAGTTTTGTCATTTATTTTTTCATTATTTAACACTAGAGGCCCGATGCACAAAAATTCGTGCAAGAGTAGGCCTTCCTTCCTCCAACTGCCAGCACCGGCTTCCCTCCAGCACTCAGGACCCAGGCTGCTCCCTCCTCCAGGCACCGCAGGCACCCTGGACCTGGGCTGGCTTCCCCCCAGCCCCAGTTTCCTCAGGAAGGACATCCGGTCTAATTAGCATATTACCTTTTATTACTATAGGTTAAGTATGATTAAATAGAAGAACACACTTATAAAACTGGTTCAGCTTTTCAGTCACTGAAATGGCAGTATATGAGCTTTAAAGAAAGCAATATACTGTAGAAGAAACTTTCTGGTCTTTATTCCCCTACACACACATAGCAATTTAGAAGTATAATGATCTCATTTTATCTCGTAAAGACATCTTCCCGAGGTAGCTGTTATTGTCATTCCTGCTTTACACTGAGGAATAAGGCTCAAGAAAGGACTTGGTCATGAAGCAAATAAAATTCCATTCAATACAGTATCTCCTTATCATCTATTGTGTGTCAGACACATTCTTTTTACTGAGAACATAAAGATAAGAGTGTCTTCCTCTCACTGTAATGTTAAAACGAATGCCTTTCTAAAGTGAAAACTAATTACTCCCAATATATAATATCAGGATGAGGCTCATTCCCTTTTCTCTCCAACTCTGGTCAGGTGTGAACCGTCACAGTCTCTTTCTTTGTAGCTAAGGATGCTCATCTGCATGGCTGCCGGAGGAGCAGGGACTCCTCCTGACAACAAAAAGGAGCAAATCCCACTCTGTACACAGGATGCTCCCCGTGGTACTCCACACTTAGGTTTTAAACGGTAATTGAATAAGCACTTTAAATAAAATTGCGCTTATTTATCCTTTCTTTTGATACAAACAGTCCACTGCTTGTTCGGAGGAGGCCTTTTCTTTCCTAATGCTTTGCTTGCCTTTGTTTCTGTCCTAAGAGAGGCTGAGGTTTTAATGTGATCAACTTTAGAGACGGGCAAAGGGTTAAGTTGCTGTCAAACAAGTATTCTCTCCTACTTTAAATTTCCTCTTGTTCGTAAGGAAAACGAATGGGAAAAGCCTCAATCAAAGCAGTCTCCCTAAGCTGGCCCCTCCCCCCAGGTGCCACTCTGTGACATGGCAGGTGCTTGTGAGAGAAAAGAGCCATTCTGCATGGAAGCAAAGGGAGAGAGTGTTTTGTGCCTGTTCCCAAGGACCCCGTGGGCCACGTTGGGAACAGCTTTAAAAGGCCGAGGAGGATGTCAAGTCATATTTTTCTTGGTCCAACAATTTTGTAAGACATTGAAAAATGGGTATTTAATTTACAGAAAAAGAAGTTTTCTTCACAGGAGACTGTGCTTGGACGAACAGATAAGAAAGCATTTATCTCTAATCCTTCCATCATAGACACGGGAATGGAAAAATAGAGTTTATCTGGGCATAAAAATATTTGCAAATAAACCTTTGTGTTTTGTGTTTTTTTTTTTTTAAATCAAGAAAAACCAAATGGAATCTTTCAAACGACAAATACTGTAATTGTTGAAAAGCAAAAGGCCCCACTAGGTCAGTTTAATTGAGAAAAAAAGAAAGATAAAAGCTTTTTCTCCCTTTATAAAACTAATTAATGAAGCAGATGAAAGAGCTTCCTTGTGGTAAACGTGGCTCACTGAAGCAGGCCTCCGGTTAATGTCATTCTGGGCTTGCTTAATTATTGTGCCAAACACAGTTGCGAGGTTAGTAAACAGTATGAGTATGAACATGTGCATGGGTTTAGCTGGAGAGAAAATCTTGTCAAAAAAGAAGAAAAGTTTCAGTTGAAACGTGTGATGATTTAAGAGAACTTGTACCTAAATAGGAACTGTCCTATCCTATTACTTTGTGTTTGTTCATATTTGCATCCAGGCTATCTTTTAGGGAAAACATATGATTGTCTACAAACAGCATGTTGAGCCTGGCCACGGTGGCTCAGGTGGTTGAGCACGATTCCATGCCCGGGTCACCAGGTCCATTCCTGGTCCTGCCCCGGTGGGAGTTCAATTCCCCTCTCCCTTCCTCTCTCTGAAATCAATAAAAACACAGTAAAATATATATGTGACAGTCCTCGGGTTACATCGGACCTGACATACATTGTTTTATGGTTATATTGCCATCTTTCATTTATTTATATAAAAAAAAGTTCCGTCATTTCGGCGCATGTACATACATATGTGCTTTATGTTTTTTATTATTTATTTACCACATGGAAAGGTCAGGAATTGTTATCTTTCTTTAATTTTTTTTTTCTGTTTCACTTCATTACTGCTGTGTATGTGCCCCATGTGAGCAATACAGGTGCTTATATAGTTGGGTTCTGACTTAGGGCAAACATTGCGTTATGTTGCGCCTTAGAAATGGATCTCTGATGTAACCAGAGGACCTACTGTACATTAAAAAGCATATTAAATAAAACATGTTGAAGGATAGTTTGTTGTTTCTAGTGAAAGGCTATATAGATAATTAAAATGTTGATCATTTTGCCTGTTTTATTACTCTTTGAAGTAAAATGATTGAAGTGACATGAGTGCTGTCTTTCATCACTATTTGCAAATAAACCTTTGTGTTTTGTGTTTTGTTTTTTTTTTTTAAATCAAGAAAAACCAAATGGAATCTTTCAAACGACAAATACTGTAATTGTTGAAAAGCAAAAGGCCCCACTAGGTCAGTTTAATTGAGAAAAAAAGAAAGATAAAAGCTTTTTCTCCCTTGTCAAATCTATTTCATCACTTGTCAAATCACTCAACATCTCTGGGCTTTACTATTCTTTGTTTGCCACAGGCTGGAGTAGAAAAGATAATCTGTTATTCTCAAATTACCTTATAGTTAGAGGCTAATATATTCCTAAAGTAGAGGAAACCCAGCTCCATTTATAATTCACATTAGAGATGACTATTCCCAGACACAAAATTGCAAGCATTTAAGGATGTACAGAACTACAATTGGTGCATTTATTCTCATGGAGCTTAAATTTTATCTTATAACTAGAGGCCCAGTGCACTAAATTTGTGCATGGTTGTGGGGTGGGTCTCTCAGTCCTACCTGAACTCTCTCCAATCTGGGACCCCTTGGGGATGTCAACTGCTGGATTAGGCCTGATCCCGCAGTTGGGCCTAAACTGGCAGTCGGACATTCCTCTCACAATCCAGGATTGCTGGCTCCTAACTGCTCACCTGCCTGTTGGTCTTATCCTCCTAACTACTCTCTTCTGCTGGCCTGGTCACCCTAACTGCTCTCCCCTGCCAGTCTGATCACCCCTAACCACCTCTGACTCAGCCCCGCCACCTTGGCTTTGCCTGGAAGGTCATCCAGTCTAATTAGCATATTACCCTTTTATTAGTATGGATGAGCTCATTTCGGTGCCGGGAAAATACATACAGGACACTGACAGGATAATGTATCACAGGCAGCCTATTTAATAGATTTGTATCCCACATTTGCTACTTTTTAACATAACACAAAAAAAAGAGTTGTTAAATGCTTCATTAGAAAGCAGTTCATATTATACTTACCTTTTAGTCCTAAGCCAAAAAAAATGTATTTTTTCAGAGCTTAGATAAGATAATGATCAACCAAGTGCAACAATTATGAAATCAATTAAGTACTAGTTGATGATTTAAGAGGATGTTTTAAGCATTTCTTACCTTAATTTCCAGTACATTTTCATTGCCTATTGAGATCATCACTGGCCTTTCAAAAGGCTTAAAGACAGGATTATGTACATAAATGAGATCGAAGTATTTGGAATGAATCCCATCTAACATGAAAAAGGCTTTAGTTTTCAGGGGGAGTTGCAGATTCAGCTGTTGTAGTGAAGGAGTTGTACAGCAGATTATCTCGGAATTAGAGCGATGTTGACATGCCTATAGTAAGACACAATTACCCACTGTGAGCAGAATATCAATAGCAACTTTTCATAAGCAGATGAAAAGTAAGGACCTACTTGACAACATCAATAGCAACTTTCACATTTAATAGTTTCAGGCAATCAATGGAAAGGTGTAATATTTGGACTCACCTGGGTACCTCCCAACCCAGCACAAGTAGTAGCCATCTGCAGACAGCTTTGTGGTTCATGCTGGGTGGCCCCTGGCAGATAGAGGTGCAGCTGACCTTGAGATCCCTGAGCCAATGCACCCGGTGGACAGCTTCAGTCCAGGGTGAAGCCTCACCACCCAACTGCCTCCACAAGTGGCACACTCAAGGGGTGGACTCAACTGGCAGCAGAGCCCCACTGAAGTAAGTCCTGCTCTGTGGGGTAGGCCCCTGAACAGTTCATCCTCCACCATGGTTGGAGGTCAGTGGCTGAAGCCTGGGAGCAAATCCCTCCCCACTGACATGCCAACAGCAATCAAGGCTCAACTACAAGAGGAGGGTGCTAACATTGGGCGGGGTGGAGGGGGTGGAGAAAGGGGTGCACCCTGAATGCTTAGCTTGAGTGATTGGGGAAGATGTGCCATTGGACCCTACAGAACACCTACTACATTAGGCCACTCTACCAAGCCTGGGAGATGTAGCAGCTCTACCTAATACTTAGAAGCAAATATAGGAGGCTGCCAAAATAAGGAGACAAAGAAACATGCTCCAAATGAAAGAACAGAACTAAAAGTCAGAAAGAAAAAAATCTAAACAAAATGGAGACGAGCAATCTACTAGATGAAGATTTCAAAATACTGGTTTTAAGGATGCTCAATGAACTTAGTGAGAACCTCGAAAGTATAAAAAAGGACCAGTCAGAAATGAAGGATACACTAATTGAAATGAAGAGTAATTTACAGGGAATTAACAGTACAGTAGATGAAGCCAGGAATCAAATCAGAGATCTGGAAAATAAGGAAGCAAAAAAACCAAAAAACAAAAACAACCCAACAAAAACAAACAAACAAACAAACAAAAAAACAAACAAAAACCACCCCCCCTCCCCGTCTCCAATCAAAACAGCAAAAAGAAAAAAAATGAGGATAGTGTAAGAACTCCCTGGGACAATTTGGGAGTACCAATATTCGCACCATTGGGGTGCCAAGAGAAGAGAGAGAGCGCAAAATATTGAAAACCTATTTGAAAAAATAATGATAGTAAACTTTCCTGCCTGGTTAGGGAAATAGATATACAAGCCCAAGAAGTGTAGAGAATCCAAAACATGAGGAATGCAAAGAGGCCCACACCAAGAGATATCATAATTAAAATGCCAAAGGTTAAAGATAAAGAGAGAATCTTAAAAGCAGCAAGAGAAAAGAAGTTAGTACCCTACAAGGGAGCTCACATAAGACTGTCATCTGTTTTCTCAACAGAAACTTTGCAGTCCAGAAGGAATTGGCAAGAAATAATCAAATTGATGAAAAGTAAGGACCTATCAAGAATACTCTATCGAGCAAAGCTATCATTTAGACTCGAAAGATAGATATAGAACTTCCCAGAAAAGAAAAAGCTAAATGAGTCTATCACTATGAAATTATATAAAATATTAAAGGGTCTTCTTAAAAAAAAGAAAGAAAAGAAAAACACATACCTATATATTAATAATTGAATCTAAAAACAAAATAAATGTACACACACAATAGAAACAGACTCAGATACAGAGACCATTGTGATGGTTGCCAGATGGGAGAGGGGGTGGGGGATGTGTGAAAAAGGTGAAGGGATGAAGAAGTACAGATCGATTGTTACAGAATAGTAATGGGAATGGAAGGTACAGCACAGGGAAGATAGTCAATAATATTCTAATAAGTATGTATGGTGTCAGATGGGTGTGAGATTTATCGGATGATCGCTTAGTAATTTATGCAAAGTCTAATCATTGGGGTCATACACTTGAAACTAATATAATAATGTATGTCAACTCTAACTGAAAAAATAAAACAACAATTAAAAAAAGAAATATGTAATTTTTGAAAAACAAAACAAAACACCACACACCAGCATTTAACTTTGTAATGTTGAAGAACACATTTTTGGAAACAAAATAGAAACAAATTGATCTAAACAATGCAGTCTTCAAAGAAACACAGAACTTTACTTGCTCAAAATCAACTATGCTGCTCTATCTGAAACTGGCTCACCCTCCATTACTTTATTTTTCTGAAGAAGAAAAGGACAGTCTCCTGGAAGGACTGTTTTCTTGTTTAGGAAACAGCCACGACAGAGTGCGAGTTGAACTTTGTGCCAGTATCTCACAGCTCTAAATCAAGTTGTGAGAATCAGGGCAAAATCCTTACTTGGAAACTCAGTTTCCTCACTTAGGAAGTAAGATTAAAATGTCGTTAAAATGTGTGATACTACGTGGTAAAGTGCTTTGTCAACTGCTAAGCATCATAGCTTCGCATTACAATGAGCTATGTAGTTAGATCATTTTACCAGTGTTTTTTAAGATATCAGTTACTGAGTGCCAGGTTCTGTGCAAAATACTTCCAAGGTAGGTCTCATATAATTCTCCCAATAACCTTATGAGGTAGGTGCTCTGATCACCCTCATTTTATGGATGAAGGAGCAGCTTTTTAAGCTGACATCATTGGACCAGGTCACACAGCTTTGTGTGGCAGTGTAAGAAACATAAATCGTAGGCCACTGTCTCCAAATTCACTGTCTTACCTTCCATGACACATGCATTGCTTCTTGCTCACTCTACAGTCTTTGCTGGTAAATCTTTTCCTATGCTCTCTATTTTACAAAGGCTTTTTCATATTTTTCCATGCCCTTTCATCTCTCATCTCAAATTTTCCCCTTTGGAGTTCTGATTTATGGAGAATTGGAAAATGTGGTTTCCTCTTGATTGTGCTTAGACTAAGTCAGTAACATGAAGTGACACATCTAAGGTTAAAAGCTCAGTTGGTTAGAATGCCATCCAGATATGACAGGGTTGCAGGTTCACTCCCCAGTCAGGGCAAATACAGGATGCAAATGGTGAATGCATAAAAAGTGAAACAACAAGTCAACGTTTTCACTCTTTCTCTCTCTTTAAAATCAATCAATAAATATTAAAAAAAAGGTTAAATGGTTGAGATTTTCCCCTCCAAGGGAAAACAAGTAACAATGTCCCTTAGATTTATTTTCCTTTGATAAGTAGAGTTGGAGATAAACTACTTACTTATGCCTAAAATAGAAAACGGACTCAGGATATACATAAAAAGCACAAATAAGCTTGGCCAGTGTTGCTCAGTGGTTGAGTGTTGAACATGAACCAGGTCACTATTCAATTCCTGGTCAGGGCACATGCCCTGGAGGCAGCCTATGGATGATTCTCTCTCATCATTGATGTTTCTCTCTTTCTTTCTCTCTCTATCCCTCCCTCTCCCTATCCATTCTTTTCTCTGAAATCAATTAAAACATATTTTTTAAAAAGCACAAACAAAATTGGGTGATATTTTCTTTTAAAAATAATTAAAAAAATCATCCTATATTTAAAGTGTATGCTGTAAGTAAGTATAGAAAAACAGATAACTATATTATAAATAAAATAATCTAATTTAATCTTAAATTCATAATGCTGAAAGCAATTTATCCCTATCATCCTGAAAATAGAAATGAACAATTTTACTGCTATCACAATAATTCTCTACATAACAAGAAATTTGAAAACTATACAATAAATGGTTGGCTTTTGAGACATAATGTACATAAACAAATTAATACACATTTTGTTGAGTAGGTTATTAGTATTTTTATTTTTAAACATTTGAGTTTATTGGATTTAATGTTATTGTGGCTGGATCAATATGTCTAAACTAGAGGCCTGATGCACAAAATCCGTGCAAGGGGTTTGGACCTCACAGCCCTGGCTTCATCTGGAAGATCATCAGGATGGTTGTTCCACTGTTTGGCCTTTTGGTTGATTTGTATATTACACTTTTATTATTATAGATCAGACCTGACAACAAGTTTAAATTGTTAAATAATGAATGAGTTCAATTAATCATGGTCAGCTTCAAATTCTATAAGCAGAGGGAACATGGAAGGAATACATCTCTTTATGAAGTAGTTTTCACAAACAATAGTCAAACAGACTCATTGAATTTTTCATTCTTGTCCAATTCTAATGCATAGTTCTATTGTACTAGGAATACGTTTGTGGCTAAAACAACAGAAGCTCACATTTTCAGATATGTAAACAGAATTTTTATCTTCTACCACTGTTGGGACATGCCACTCTTATGTCACACACAGGAAGTTTGTAATAAATATTTGGTTACAAATGATTGAAAAAAACTAAGAGGGGCTCTACCTGTTATGAAAACGCTGGTGAGAGAGAAGGAAGGAAATTTAGCCATATTTTAAAACAGGCTTGGTATAAATTAGATAAATTTATAATTTCTCAGATTTCTACTTTAAAAAGTCACATGCCAACACCAAAGAAGGTTACTGTTACTCCTATTTGGGTAATAATGTTATATCTGGCTGTGAAAAATTGGTGTCCCTTAAATTAATAGCAGTGGTATTCTTTGTGGCCACGTGTGAGGACTGGTTTCAAAGCTCTCTTCTTCATTCGGTAACTCCCTGGAGCATAATCTCTCAGAAATATGATAAGAATTTAATAATACTCTCTAGAGGTGATGCAATGTGGCTGATTGAGAAGGTCAAGAAAAATTTCATTTGAGGTGACCTTATTGTTTGGTGATCTGGCTTGACATTTTTAGCCCCAAATTGGTTTTTGTAATTAAAGAACATTGTGGCCTTAGTTTTCAAAAAATATTGGATAGGCAATCTAAAAGAAAGTGCTATAATTCAATCTATCACCTGCCCAATCAAGACCCTGCTTGAGAAGGGGCACAGAATTTTCATGCTAAGTGAGTGCACAAGCCCAACTATTATAGATGATGATATTTTATATGAGAATGTCTGTAAGTAACTCCAACTTCCTTTAGGTCTAAACTAAATGTGGAATGTCTGTAAGTAACTCCAACTTCCTTTAGGTCTAAACTAAAATTACCATGGTAATGTGACCTATATAAATTGTTAGAACAAAACGGGTCCATCACTTTTAAGGGGGCATTCAGTTAAAATTTTGATTGGCTTTACAAATAAAAGAAGGAAAGGTGGAGAAATAACAAACATACTCTAGGACATATGTATTCTAATGCTCTTTCTCATTACTTGGTAACATTCTAACAAAGGGACAAGAAGAATGGCAAGAAGGGATTGTAAGAAAACATGTGTGCATGCTGCTTAGAAAGAAATGGATGAGACTGCAAGATTGAAGACGTTACCCATGGTTTTATTAGACCAAAAGGGTTGATGCTCTATGGTGCATTAAAAAAAAAAAGGGGAAGGGTAGGAACATGCAATGAACTGAATATTTGTGGCTCTGAATTCAAATGTTGGGAACAATGTGACAGTATTGGAAGGGCCTTTGGGAGGTAATTAAGTCATGAGGGTGAAGTCCTCATTAGTGAGAAAAGACTAGAGAGCTCCCTTTTTCTTTCTCTCTACCTCCCATGTGAGGTCACACTGAGAAGGTGGCCTTGAGCACATGAGGAAGAGTGTCCTCACCAGACACGCACATGTGCTAGCACCTTGATCTTAAACTTCCTGGCCTCCAGAACTGAGAAATAAATGTTTGCTGTGTCGGCCTTCCAGTCTATGCTATTTTTTTCTTTGCAGCACCCATAGCACCCTGAACTCACTAAGACAGGAAATAACAGGGTTTGTATTTGTACCGACTGTCTTTAAAGATACTGCCTCTGGTGAGTAATCATCCCTTGTATGTAGACATTGTGTGTGTGTGTGTGTGTGTGTGTGTGTATGTGTGTGTGTGTGTGTGTGTCTGTTTTACAATGCTAGCCTAAGACTATATGATTTTAGTTGTTGGGTGGAAAATGCTATTTGGACCACACTGCAAGGAAGGTAACTAGCAAACACTGAAGGCAAGCTGAAATGTCCTATGAACCGTGAAAGCCATGATAGAGGCCAGACGCAGAACTTGAAGCACAGCCATCACTCAGAGGACTTACCACCGTGAAGTTCCGTCCTGCTTCACGCACATGGATTACCATCCTCAGGACACTGACTGAATTCAGGTTTTTCCCAACCCCTGTGATGGTGCTCCCGCCACTGGCAAAGGAAAACAGACAAACAGCAACGCTGAGAGGGTTTCCCTACCAAGTGTTTGGAGAGAGTTCAGTTAAATCACATGCAGTGACTGTAAGCTGCTCCCAAAGCCTAAGTCCAGCGGAAATTCAGTGGTAAGCATTCTTTGGAAACAACTTGTTTACCTTGAAAATACTTTTAAAATTCACATTTCATAAAGTGAAGAAAATGCATTTGCCTTTTTATTCACCAAATATGCAAAATAATTTTTTCTCTCTCTGAAAATAAACAACAAAAAACAAAGAAGCGTGAACTTAATTATTGTTACTGTGCTGAATTAATGGAAACGAGGCAGACTGAAGTGGGTCGAATGAGATGTTGACTCAAAGAGACTCTAGTATAGGAAAAAGCTGTATGCAAAGCAGGCAGGAGAACTTACACTGACGAATGGGGGAAATAGTGATGATTCCACTTTTGAGCACTAAGATTAGTGCAGAATTGACATGTACATAATATAAGTACATAAAAAGTACATTTTACTGAGATCTATTAAAAAATGTAACAGAATAGGACAAAATGTTCCTTGGCATGAGCTAGCATTAACAGTCAAACTGTATTCAGGACAAGAATGTAGTTTTCACTCCTGAATTGGAAAGGCAGCTTTCAAAAGGAATCCAAAGAAAAAAACCACAATTCCTCTTGACTACTCGATAGCCAAATCATTCTGATGTCCCTTCCTTTTTTTTTTTTTTTTTTTTTTTTTTTAATATGTTTTTATTGGCTCCAGAGAGAGGGAAAGAGAGAGAGAAACATCAGTGATGAGAGAGATTCATCGATCGGCTGCCTCCTGCACATCCCCTATTGGGAATCAAGCCCTCAACCAGGAAATGAACTGTGACCTCCTGGTTCGTGGGTCGACATTCAACCACTGAGCAACACCGGCTAGGCTTATGTTCCTTAGTATTATACCCATCAGAAAATTTTCTTACCTAACAAAAGATTTTGTTGGGTGAATTTTATAGACAATGGGATCTTCCTGGTAACTGAAGCTGTCAATCTCTTTGTTGGCCAGGTCAATTTTCAACTTAATAGGAAACTCAGTTGGAGAGTTTTGGGCTGGGGTATAACATTCCAGAATGGTCTCTGACACTCTGTATAAAACACATATACACACACACAAAATGAAGAAAACAAACTTTAGCTATTAAAGATAAACACATTGGAAAATTATATCCATAAATCAAAAGGATATCACTCAATGACTCCTAAATAGGAATTTCCTGATGTGATCTAGATAAAAGATCTTTCTAATGTAGGCTGTTTATATTTGACTAGATTCCAAATTTAGTCTTGTTTGAGCAAGCCTAAACTTCAAAATTTTAGGATTTTAACTAATTATTAAGGTATCCTTTTCGGTAGTTGGTATTTGATTACTTCAACCCTAAGAAGCAAAAATATAACTTCTCTCCGACCCAAACTCCCCCATGTTTCTCACTTCCCTCCAAAGTGAGTCTAATTGTAAATCTTGATGGGGACATTTATTGTATTTTATTGTCAATTATTAGAATCTCACAATTCATAGCAAAGCTAGGATACTAAGATAAAACAGGAGAGAGCATGAATAGAAAACTTAAAAGTGGAATTAAATAATAAAGGAAGGATATAAAACTGAGTGAAAGGGAGTAGATGGAGTTGAGAAGGAAGGAGTTTTATCAGCAAGAGAGTGAATGATAAGTATCTTAGATTTTTCCCATAAAATAATTTCCCCCCCTAAATTGTTAGATGTAGATATTAATCCCTACATGACCGATGCAACAAAAACCAGATTTACCACACCTTTTTAAAGTACAGGTTTTTCCACCAATTGAAACGTGTCTAGAATTCCCACTGTTAAGGTATTTTCCAGTTAAAGTAAGTAAAGTGCCACCAGTCTTAGGACCATAACTTGGGGAAATACTTGTTATTATAGGATCCTGATGAGAGATAAGAAGAAAAAAGCAATGTAACTTGTTAGTTTTATAACTCTAAGAAGATTAACAATTAAATATCCTACTTCATGCTAAAAGTAATAAACTTACCACGTAAGCAAATGTACTGTATTGCACTGTCCCTCGACCATTTGAAATAATTATGGACATATTGAAATGCTCATTCATTGCAGGACCAACTGTGCATTTTAACCTGGGAAAAAATAACCCCGAAAAGTTTAATATGTTACATGTCCAAAGGAGGCATTTTCTGGTTTGGCGGTTTCATATGAAAGGACATGAATGTGTGAGCTGACTACTCTGATTAGCAAGCAGAGTAGTCAGCTCACACATTTGTTAAACCTTATCAAGGCAGAATTCACAAATTTGTTCATAAAGAAATCTAAGTCTCAGCCTATAAAACTGTAGGCAACATGTTTGGCATACTTAACAAATATTATTTCAATAGCATAACAATGGCTAATGATAAATAGGCCAAATCTCTTCATTGAAGAGTGCCAACAGGTACAGTTCTGTGATTACATGTGTTTATTTAAATCACTTAAAACATGATAAAACTGTGATAGATTTTCCATATGATTATTATTATTATTTTTTTAAAATATATTTTATTGATTTTTTACAAAGAGGAAGGGAGAGGGTTAGAAAGTTAGAAACATCGATGAGAGAGAAACATCGACCATCTGCCTTCTGCACACCCCCTACTGGGGATGTGCCTGCAACCAAGGTGCATTCCCTGACTGGAATCAAACTTGGGACCTTTCAGTCCGAAGGCCAATACTCTATCCACTGAGCCAAACCAGTTTTGGCCATAGGATTATTTTTGAATAATCCTATAGCCCTGAAAAATTATAAATATAATTTGTTTTATTAAATAAGTTTTAAAGAAGAGAATGAATTGTTTCACTTTTACAGGCCCTAATTTATAATGCATTGAGTAAGAATTTACAAGGTGAATTTCCAGAATTATTTTGTTAGGTCATTAAGCTAAATAACTATGACATTAATGGATATTTCAGTCTCAGTGAAATGAATAGATTTAGACCTTTATGTAATCCTTAAAGGCCTTCTATTAGGTATAAAATAACCACTTGATAGACGAGGTTTCAAGCATAAATTGTACATTTTTGGTTGTTACTGTACAATAACTGAAAATGTCTGAATTCTCGTACATTATGCGATTCAGATATCGTTGAAGGTACGTGTAGAAGAGAACAAGCATAGGCCCTGGACAGGAATGCTGACCTTGAAGGCCTATAAGTCACCTCTCACCATTTGAATGATCTTTCTCAGTTTCAGGAATCACCTTTGTGAAATAGGAATGATATTGCTATCTCCCAGGATTTGGAAATGGCTAAATGAGATACACTCTTACATTACAATCCCAATAAATGTCAGCTGAATGTAAATTTAAACTCATCAAAAGGAGTCTCAAAATGTGATTCAGCTATCCTACCACTGATGTTATAAAGTAAATTTAGAAGAGAGGGTGCATATTGAGCTATTTACTGTTTTTTTTTTTTTTTTTTTATAGAAAGAGACATTGGATACTGAATTTGAAAACTTTAAAGATGGAGTGAATCCAGCCAACCAGTGCTTTCAAATCCACCCAGACAATTTCTGAAGAGTTGTTACAAAACCGGCTGAAAACTCCCAAACACTGGATTCTTCTTTTTTTCATCTAGATACTGTCAATTTTCTCCCTCCTTAATTCTGACAGTAAATAAGATAAACAAAACAACAATAATAACAAACACATCCAAAAGGGATGTGATAGACCAAGACTCTTAAGAGATGAAATTTTTAGGGGCATTTTCTTTACAGGCATTCATTCAAAAACAAACCGTTTTCCAACCACACCCTAGCAAAGTATTTTAAGAACCTTACATATTGGTTGTACTCTCACTTAGGGCCAAGGTACAGCTCTCATTTCCAAGGAGAATCCTGGTTTTCTTCACATCAAATTTACTGTTCTTCCTGAATCCGAAGTCCCAGCCACAGATGGTCAGCGTGGTCCCTCCTTCCAGAGGCGCACTAGTTGGGAACACCTGCAAGGACAACATAGAAATTAAAACCCCCATATGAGTGGAAAACAAAATATGTTTGCTCAGATGGTCTGAAATTCTTGCATTTTCCCACTACCTAAAATATTTAATGTTAATTAAAGAAATAATGGTCAGCCAGGCTGGCATGGCTCAGTGGCTGAGTGTCGACCTATGAACTGGGAGGTCACAGTTCGATTCTCAGGCGGAGCTCATGCCGGGTTATGGGCTGGGTCCCCTTTGGAGGGTGTGCAGGAGGTGGCTGATCGGTGATGATTCTCTCTCATCATTCATGTTTCTGTCTCTCTCTCCCCCTCCCTTCCTCTCTGAAATCAATAAAAGTATATTTAACAGAACAATGGTTGGTCACAAATGTCAGAGTATCTGAACATTATAACCATCTGAGATGCTGCTCTGGTTGGTGTGGCTCAGTTGGTTGGAGCTTCATCCCATGCACAAAAAAGGTGGCAGCTTTGATTCCCTGTCAGGGAATCAAATGTAAACTTGGAACCTATGTGATCTTATTAAGCAATATCACCCAATAAACGATTAAGAGAGATTTTTCTGATTCATATAACACACACACACACACACCTAGGGCACATACCTAGGGCAGCCGATCAATGTTTCTCCTCTCTCTCTCTCTCTCTCTCTCTCTCTCTCTCCTTCCTCCTCTCCTCCTCTCCTCCTCTCCTCCCTCCTCTCTCTTTCTCCTTCTCCTCTCTCTCTCTCTCTCTCTCTCTCTCTCTCTCTCTCTCTCTCTCTCTCTCTCTCTTCTTTCTTCCTCTCTCTCTTCTTTCTTCCTCTCCCTCTCCCTCTTCCTCTCCCTCCCCCTCTCTCTCAAATGTATGGAAACATGTCCTCAGGTGAGGATTAAAGAAACCCCCAAAACAAACAAACAAACAACAAATGCACATGTTGTTTTCAGGCAATCCAAAGAGGGGACAGGGAGCAGACTCAGCCTGGGTGGGATGAAGGCCTTCTGGGAGAATCTGAAATGAATTCCCTTCTAGGAAACCTCGGGGCTAAAGACGACATACTTTGGACCCAGACTCTTATGCTTGGCTCTCTGATTATTACTCCTTCAGGGGCCTCCATGGAACTGCTCAAAAGACCTTCATGCGCCCTAGAAGCCAAGCCTTGGTCTGTGTGTGATGTTCTGGTTGCTATGATATTCCTTACCCAGGGGAGAAAGGCGCCCAGTAAAAATACCTCTTTGGATATGCAGTGCTTCCAGTTGCATTCAGCAGCTTTCATAATATCAAACCCATGGATGGTATTCAATACATATCTGCCATTTATTTATAAATCATCCACTATGAGCCAGGTAGCAATGTATGAATAAGTGAATCTATTCCTTTTACTGTTAACTCACATTTATTATTGATTTGCAACTTCTCTATTTATGCTAGTTGGTTAGTGGATACACTCAGCCTTTAAAAAATGATGTAATATTTAACACATTCAATATATTATTTGTATTAGGAAGAGATGAAAACAGAACTGGAGAGAGCCCCAGATGTGATCAGCATTGTAGTACTATTTCTGATGGTCTCTCTTGGCATTATTCTACATCTCATTGCAAGGACTGTTCCTGCCCCATTGTCCAATGTTAAATAAGTAATAGGTTCATTTTATTCTTGGAGGTGTGTGAAAAGTAAAGTTGAATTCATTCATAAATACATTTAACCACATGACCCAGCTATTCCTCCTCTGGGTACCTACCTGAAAAACTCTAAAATATTTATTTCCAAAGATTGTGCACCCCTATGTTCACTGCAGTGGCCGAGACATGGAGACAATCCAAGTGTTCTTTGATCAAGGACTGGGTAAAGAAGATGTGGTACATGTGTGGGTGAACACTACTCAGCCGTAAGAAAAGATGAAATGCTGCCATTTGCAACAACAAGGACACACCTTGAGAATATTATGCTAAGTGAAACAAGTCAGTCAAAGCTAAGAACCATATGATTTTACTCATATGTGGGATATGAAACTGAAACTCATAGACACAGACAACAGTATGGTGGTTACCAGAGAGAGGGGGTGGGGAGGTTATTAAAGGGTAAAGTGGGCCAAATATATGGTGAGGAAAAATGATTTGACTTCGGATGGTGGGCAAACAATGCCATATACAGATCGCATACCACAGAAATGTAAACTTGGAACCTATGTGATCTTATTAAGCAATATCACCCAATAAACGATTAAGAGAGATTTTTCTGATTCATATAACACACACACACACACACACACACACACCAAAAAAAACACACACAAAAAAACCCTCTGGTGACTATAATATAAGATAGCATTAGGCTCTTAGGAAGTCTATAAGATAATGGTTCTTAGACTAAAAGGATTAAAACAAAAACACATTTCCAAGTTAAAAATAAGCCTCTCCTCAGCAGTTTTGTGACAATTGAGAAAGGAAATGCTCTTTTGGGGGGTCATATTGTAAATTGTGCTGGAAAGTACAATAGTGGGAAAACAGCACCACTACAGAGACAACTCAGAACGGTGTTTGTTTAAGGCCCGTGAGTGGAAATCTGAAAGCGATTCTTCACCGTTTACAAGGGCTTTTAGCAGAACGCAAATCTGCAAAGGTTCCTATCCTTCCCACACAAGAATTACAAACCAAATTCTCTACTTACCTTGTTTACTAACCCCCTTTAACATTTCAGCTTAATGCCTTTAGGATAGCTATTTTACCCAGTAAGTCCATTGCATAGTTGTGCCTTCCTTGAAAACTTAACTTGTCAGTGTCCAGCCAAATGAGAACTGCTAGGCGAAAGCTACGCTATCTGTTTATTATTACGTTAGAAATCCAGCAGGAGAGACTAAGACACCTAACCCTCCGGGACTTTCCTCAGCCCCAGGCGGCCACACAGCTGCTGCTCCCTCTTAATGAGGCCTCCCCATAAAAAACAGCTGCCACGGCTGGGTCCCCCCTTTCTATGTAAAAACTGAAGCCTGTCACTCTCCATACATCATGACTTCCTCTATAAGGCAACGGGGGTGGGTGATGATTTGAGAAAAACCACCGAGGGGTGCAATGGAATTGGACATGATAGAAACTTGGCTAGACAGGATTTGAAAGAGCAGCTCTCCTGAGCTCTCCTCTCCAGGCTGAACTACTAGAGGGGCCATCCGAGGATTTCCCCTAGCTCCTGGTGTAATGTTCATGCTTCCAGGGGAAAGGAAGGAAGCAGGACTGGGCTACCCACCCCTGGGCAGAACCAACAATGGGTTGGCAGACTCCGAGTTCTCCTGAAGGGCACAGAGGCTCTGTGGGGAGGAAATGAGTGTCCAGCATACAGCCACGGGGGCCGGGTCTCCCACCTGTCTGAACAGGGGAAAAGCAGCTACACAAGGAGCTAGCCTCCTCTCCCAAGTGAAAATGATTCAAATGGTCACGCTTTCGAAACCCACCAAGATAAGACAGGAGAGAGCTAGAAACAATAATAAAAAAAACCCTTGGAAAATTAAAATTTGCCATGTATTAGTAATGTAAGATAGAACAATAAGGGATACCAGCTGAGGGGCATCTAGAAAAACAACCACAACAAACTTTGGAAAGTTATACACCGTCTCTTCAGAAGGAAAAAAGTCACAAAGATATTGATGGCGGGGTATTGACTGCGTGACCCCTTCCCCCGTAAGATATTGCTGCTGCTTCTTATCTGAGTCTTCTGATCAATTAATAAACTGTTTTATTGTTTCACTGGGATTGGAGTCAATCCTACAAGCGGTGACAATTTTATCCTAACAAATTCAGAATATACTGGATATGTCAGAATAGACTTCCTTTTCTAAAGCGCGTCTCATGGCTCTTTAAGTACAAGACCAGACAAAAGGTTAGAAACACAATAATGGGCTTTTGAGTCCGAAATCTGTCCATGTGGAACTGCCAAGGATTTCAGCCGCTGAACATCATGTACCTTGAAAAGCAAGTTAATTTACATTTATTGGGAAGTGAAATCCTATACATTAGCTGGGTTTTGTGCCTCTAGAATTTAAGACAGATAAGAAAAAGATGAATAATCTGTCTTATTTTTGTTGCAGTAAGAATGTTGGATGTCACGCTCTGGGGCAGCATGAAATCTCCCTAACAGCTATGAACCGAGAAGGATTTATGAGCTCAGCTGCCCTCCTCCCCTCCTAACCATGCAGCTGGAGCCGCGCTGACTCACGCCGAGGCGGAATTGCCAGCCAGAGTGTTGGAAAAGGAAAGGTGAGGAGGTAGCCTCATCCATGAGGAGAGATTTTTCTGGTTCCAGAAAATTCTAAAATGTTTCCTGTTTTTAACCATTTTAATATGGCTTTCATGATGAATAAAAGGAAGCACATTGGGCAAAATTAAGTGTTTTACATGTACAGGATTTCAACCTGCTCTTTATAACAGCAGTGTGGCTATTTTTGAAATAAAATTGTTATGATTTAACTGTGTGGGCGCTTAAACACACACACCACACACACATACACACACATACACACACACCCCACTGCTGATATCTCTTTCATGGAATAGTTGAGCTTAGTTTTCTAGTGTCTCAAATTGCCAAGGCTGTGTGTTTTTAAAAAGTATAAAGTATGAAGTTACATGTACTTTTAAAAGAACATTAAAGAACAACAAAAAAAGCATACATAAATACTACAGTATAGATAGTTTTGTTTTTTTTTCTCTCTCACTATCTTCTAGTTTATTCTCTGACTGGTGAGGCTAAGTCTTATTAATTGTGTCACACCCAACAGGAAGTAATTTGGTTTAAACCTTAGTCACCCCATACAAACCGTGTCCCAAACCATAACTAAATGAAAACAGCCACGCACTGGGGGGCAGCTCCAGTTCTGACTTGCGCTCTTTGTTTACTTGGGCTTGAACCAGGCAACTGAGACCTTTACCTTGAGTCTTTCACAAGGACCACTTACTAAAGTCCAACTGTTCTTCCCACAGCAGAGAGTGTACACACCGGGTCCTCTCCGGGGAAGTGTTTTCAAGCAAAACGTGTTTGGATCAGGACATTTTAAAAGAGTGCCAGGGAGATTTTCAAAGCACCAGATATATACTTAAGAAACTAAGGCAGCCGAGAAGATGGCAGCTACAAGGCCATGGCTGAGGTCCACCGCTAGAAGCTAAATCCTCTAGCAGGAGGCACTTTTATCTCTTGCGAGACTCTATCTCCCCAGTGGCTAAAACCGTGCCTGCTGTGTAGTGTGTAGTATGCATTCAAATATTTCTGGAGTAAATTAAAGAATGAAATGGTCCGCACTTAGATTTGACTAAGGTCAGCAGCCGCACATTGATGGCTCTTCCAGGACCCGCGGGCAGATGCACAGCCACCCCTGGGAGGTTACCATCTGCTCGCCCTGGGAAGTGACCTCTCATCTCACCTGGGATGAGACAAGGCCCCATCTCTGGAGTCAGACAGGAAGGAACCTGTCCTGTCCGCCTCAGAATGGCCGTGCTCTCTAGCTGGCGCGGCTCGGTGGAGGGTTGCGGGTTATGCCGTGAGCAGAGCTCTGTGCGGTAGAGGCTCATATCTAGGCACCTGGCAGATAAAGGAGGTGGTGAGGACTCTGAGAATGGGGGAGTCAGGAGGCAATGGGCCCCCGTGTGAGGAAACGAGGAACTGATTTACATGGCATCAAGGGAGAGCAACCGCCCAGGGAGAAAACCTAGCAGTGAGTGTGAGGCAGGCGCTCAGGTGCAGGACTCTGGGGGGTGGGGTTGGGGTTGGGGTTTGGGAGGGTTGGGGCACCCTGAAGAAAAAACACGGGGGGGTGTGTGGCTGGGGGTGCCCAGTTTGCTCACTGAGCTGGGAGACATCAGCCCAGATGGTGCCTGGGCTGATGTCTCCCAGCTCAGTGAGCAAACTGGGTTTTCGAATTCCTTTTCATTGGTGGGATCTGTGTGTACCAAAAAGCATAAGGATAGCTGCCGGAGATTCCTACCTCATAGACGGTGGGATGACAGAGGTCTTGGGTCCATGTGCCAGCGGCGCATTCCTCCGATCGCGCACATCTGTCGTGGCACCAGCCACACTGCACAAAGGGCGGGGCCGAGAGGCACTGGCTGCAGGACTGGAAGTGCTCACAGCCCAGGCCGTCCAGCGGGATCTTGGTGATCTGCAGAGAAAAGCGACAGACAGAGCTTCCAGAAAGCGTGCTGGTTTGTTCAATGAAAACGAATATACACATAATTTTACAGAGCCTGCTAGAGATAACACCTACGTGTGCAAATCACGTAATAATGATTGCGTGATGAGAGTAACAGAAATCAAATTCTTTTCTTCCCTCTCCTGCAGGCATGTATGTGATAGAAGCTACCATTATGTCCAGTGAACACCAACACTGCCATGCGATGCTAGAGGTTCTACTTAGCAGAGACATTTCGCTCTGTGTGAGATAATTCTTAAAGTAACAAGAGCATAATTAAGCATCTGGAAAGCACACTTGAGCCCCCAGGAAATTCTAACTACGTTTACATATCATTCCGGCATCAAGAGGCACCTCCTCCTCTCAGAGAAAACGGGTTATTGTTTGGCAGAAAATTCCAATATGCATTTTAGGATCCATCTGCCTGTACTGGAGTTCTTACCTTGAGACTGTCATACCAATTCAGTCTGTTTGTTTTTCTCATTGAGAAATATGGGAGAAAAGGAAAAGTATATATTATGAAGAGGATCTCCCTTAGCTGCTGTCTTCCCTAAAATAGAAATTTAACTTGATTTCAGAAGATCCCTGAAGTACTCAAGAAGGGAATCCAAGACAAAGAGAGAAGTCAGAAAGGCCCTCCTGACACTGGCAATAGATACCCACTCAGGAAGGACGGCACCCCTGGCGCCCCCGTGTGGGAACAGGGCTTACCTTCTTCCCGGTGACAACCAGTGTGTAGCCATTTTGGTTTAAGGGGTCCTTGACAATCATTTCTGGAGACATGGGGTGGGAATCCAGGAGAAAATTCACATGAGGTGTTGACGATCCCGATCGAGAAACTACAACCTGAGAAACAAAACAGAAAACACCTTTATTCCAAGAAACTCAGTTTAAATATAAGTGGAAAATGTGAATGATCACGGTAATGATAGATCTGGAGAGCTTGCGGGTGTTTAAACTAAAGGGCCAATGGTTTATCTCATTGTAAATCCAATATGACATCTAATTTTCATCTGAACCCCCAAGACACGTTTCCTAGGACCTTTTAATGGTTTCAAGGGAAGGTGACTCCTAATCAGCCAGCACGTGCAGACAAATCCTCATGATGGAACTGGAGGAGCCCAAACTCTCCCCTGATCAGAAGACCTCACTTATGCTATGGGATTTCTGGATTATTTTATTAACTTTTAAAATCTCTATTGTTGAGAATATTACAAATGTCTCCCTTTTTTCCTCCCACCGCCTCCCTCCACCCAGTTCCTACCCTGCCCCAGGCCTTCACCACCCTATTTTCTGTATTCAGAGGTAATGCATATATACATATAAGATCTTTGGTTAATCTCCTCGCACCCCCACTCCCCTCTTTCTTTCTTCTTCTTTTTTTTAATATATTTTATTGATTTTGTATAGAGAGGAGGGGAGAGAGATAGAGAGTTAGAAACATCGATGAGAGAGAGTCATCAATCAGCTGCCTCTTGCACACCCCCTACTGGGGATATGCCCGCAACCAAGGTACATACCCTTAACCGGAATTGAACCCGGGACCCTTCAGTCCCCAAGCAGATGCTCTATCCATTGAGCCAAACCGGTTTCGGCCCCACTCCCCTCTTTCCTCTGAGATTCCTCTGATCCTATTTTATTCACAATTAGATTTCTTGTACATTTATTTTGATTTTTAGATTGATAGATGTGTATTTATTGCCATTTTATTGTTCACATTTTTTATTCCCTTCTCCTCTTTCTCTTCCTCCTCCTCCTCCTCCTCCTCCTCCTCCTCCTCCTCCTCTTCCTCCTCCTCCTCTTCTCCTTCTTCCTCTTCTTAAAGAATACCCTTCAATATTTCATATAATACTAGTTTTGTGGTGATAAACTCCTTTAGTTTTTTGTTTTGTTTTGTTTTGGTGTGTGAAGCTCTTTTTTGGTCTATTAATAAGCCATATAAATAGACCTTTTGAGGTCAAAATAGGCCCTTAACTACTTTGAAATGATGTGCTGTCATTTTTATAAATTACTAGAGGCCAGGTGCACAGATTTGTGCACTGGTGGGGCCCCTTGGCTTCCCCTGTGGGGATTGGGCTGAAACTCTGATATCCCCTAAAGGATCCCAGATTGTAAGAGAGTGCCAGACTGAGGGACCCCACTGGTGCACAATCGGGGCCAGGGAGGAACCGTGGGGGGTCTCCATGGCATGTCTGGCTGGTCTCGCTCAGTCCCATTCAGCTGGGCCCTAAGAGCAAGCTAACCTACTGGTTGGAGCATCTGCCCCGGATGGTCAGTGTGCATCATAGCTACTGGTCAAATGATTGAACAAATGGTTGGACACATAGCATATTAGGCTTTTATTATGTAGGACTAGTGGCCCAGTGCACAAATTCATGCGCATTGAAAGGGAATTAATTAGAAGAAATATTTTAATATTGCTATTCGCCCTTTCTCTATAATAGAAGTGTCAACCAAATTCATAATCAATAATGGCATATCAAAAAGCACATGTGAGACTGGCACCAGCGAGAGCTTTATATGTATCATGCATGTGAGTGTCAATTTAGCATATATATATATATGCTTAATTAGACCTGCTTTCTGATTTAGCTAAACTTTTTCCAGCCCAGTGAAGCATCCCAACTTCTCTTTCAGGTAATTGTCAGAAACACAGCAGTAAATATCAACATGAAGCAGATTATTATTGTAGATCAAGCAGGGAGAACAAAGGGTAAAATATTTAACTGCAGCAGTGTTTGACTATATTCTGTGTAGTGAGAAAACCTAAAGTCATTTTTAAGGTCCATCATTTCTTACTTCTTTTCAGTTGAGTCAAGTTTCTAAGCTTTCTAAATCTCAATTTTTCCAGCTAATAAAAAGAAAATAGAATTCTGCTGAGTCTCCTCGCTACCTACTCCAAGACTTCTGTGAGGATCAAATGAGATGAGGCACGGGAAAACGCTTTACAGACCTTTGGTTAAAGTGTAAAATGTTTACAGCAAGTTGTGTTCCTGTGCTGAAGAAACTGCAAGGAGGCCAGTCACTAGGGAGAGGAAGCTGAGTGTTGCTACGTGATGTCATTACCTGGCACCCACAGCCATAAGCTGGGCTGTGGACCACATTTTGTGCCATGGGTTCTTGATAGTGTTGGCTGCAATTTGGTGGGCTGTTGCTCTGGGGTGGTGGTGGGGCCTGTGTCCCACTTGGAGGAATTGTTGCTTTGTGGACTTGGAGGAGCCTGTGTCCCACTTGGAGGAATTGTTGCTTTGTGGACTTGGAGGGGCCTGTGTCCCACTTGGAGGAATTGTTGCTTTGTCCACAGTGCCATTTGTGCACATCGTGGCAGCTCCTGTGTCAAGCATCTGCCCCCTGGTGGTCAGTACGCAGCATAGCAATTGATTGAATGGTCAAACGAATGGTTGGATACTTAGCATATTAGGCTTTTATTATACAGGTTTGTTCCACCATATGTTATTAATTGGATTATAAATAAAGTTCTGCTTCTTAGCCTAGTTTTATAATAAGGCCTGATGGTTTTAACAATGCCTTGGAAATGAAGTTATCAAAACTGATGTTATTCCTGCTTTCAGGTATTTCTAATTTGGAATGCTTCTCAGCTACATAATGTTCTTCTGCCCTGTTGCTATAACCAGTAATAATGAAGTCCAGGGGTAAAATCAGGATGACTATCTGAGATGAACACCCAGACTTAGAGGTGCTCAGAGAGACTTTCATTCTTATATAAGGTGCAGGAGGCTGAGCACAGCTCTGAGCTTAAAAATGACTGTGAGGGAATAAGTAGACCTGTGTAATACTTTAAACAAACAAAAGAAAAGAAATAAAAAACTGACTGTGACATTACCTAACATCTCAAATACTACCCTTTTAGGTTACATTGAAAATGTGAACAAGTATGGGCATTTTTGAGACTAGCATTAGTTAAATGACTACCCCTTCTACCTCTGTTTTCTCATCTTTAATACTGGAATGAAAATTGCAGGAGTAAACACCTGCTTAGTACCTAACACACATATACAACGTATAAATGTTCTGAAGAACTAGTAGTAAATTATTTTCTTCAACACAATGAAGGACTCAAGTAGCCTGAAAAAATTTGGTAAGATTCCCAAAGTGCCCAATTTGCTCCCAGAGAGTGGACTGTAGATAGTGAAACTAACCAAGCTCTCACAGAGCCATAAAAGTTAAACATTATGACATTTCCCCCCTAAGGTAAGTTCCACCCCAAACACTCAATACTTTCAAAACACCTCCATTAAGCAGGGTGGTGATATTTGCACAGAAGTTAAATGACGGATCAAAGGTCGTTTCATCAGGATAGGAAAGGATGGAAAGTATTTTTATTAATAAATTCAGAGCCAAATAGGTATTTGTGACGTTTGCAGTTAAAGTAAAAAGTAGTTTAATTACCAATCCTACCTCCCTCTGGGAGCTGGTTACAAGCAGACTATCTGGACACTAGACTTCAAAAGCTTTTATCCCAAATTATACAGATTTCAGTTATCCAATTTTCCAATCTTAACTCACCACCTCTTACTTTTCCTACCCCTTACCCCATTTTTTCATAATTTTTTCATAATTGTTGCCAATTACTTCAAACTGAAAAGATAAAAAATAAACAAAACACTTTCCCATAACAAGTCAAAAACAAAACAAAGTATCAGTTTTTCTTATTACCCTGATTCTGTTCTTTGCCTCATTCTGTGCTTTCCACTTCACTGAAAATTATTCATCCCCAAAAACCTTCCTATGAATATTTGGATTCTGTGTCTGACTCTCTTGTATCTTCCATTTTATTCAGACCTGCTCAATAATGACCACATCCTTTACCCATTTTTCTAATATCTTATTGCTCTTTAAATATCATTTTGCGTGTTTATAATAAGCAACCTCTTCCAAATATTCATCCAAATATTCATTTCTCAGAAAGGATTAACCTTTCTCTCTGTTTTCCTAAAGAAGCTCTTTGCACCTCTGGAACTTGAGTAGATTGATTCAATTAAGACTTTTGTCCAGAGAGCACCATATATTGTATGTGGTATTCTCCTAATAGGTAACAGCCAGGCATTCTGCTGAGTGCATTAAATGGATATATATGTGTGTGTGTGTGTATATATATATATATATATATATATATATATATATATATATTTCACAATAATCCTACAGGGTAGGTACAATTACTTTCCATAAAGAAAATACAATGACAACAACGAAAGAAAATACAACAGATATTTTTAGCTGGAAAGCACGAGTCAGGTTTACAAGGAGCTCTAGGTAATGCTTAAATCCGTGTGCTTGACCTCTCCTTAAACACTTAACCAATACACTCCTGGAGCACCAGAGTAAACACCAATAAAAAGCTTCAACTCCAAGCTCCTAAAAGCCACTCATGAGTCAAAGCATTAAAACAAATTTCACAACCTATTTGCCTTGCTAAATGCTCCTTGTTTCAGTAACTTTGGCTGTACAAGGAAGTGTGCCTAAGGAGAAAGAGTCCACATATAAAAAGATGGCACAGGGGAAACTCGACCAGCACAGCTGGTGAGCTCTGCTTTTGATCATCAGTTTGGATGAGTGTGGCTTCATACAGAAAATGGGATGAACCCGAGCAGACAGGAAGAGTGGGTGGAAAGGTGAGATGACGGTTCGGAATTTTGAGCAGAGGTCATATCACAGACGCAAATACCTTTTTAGTTGATCATTAGCCCTTTCTCTGCAGGGATATCTAAAGCACAAAGAATGCTTTTCTATAATTCCACACTTTCACTCATCGCCCAAATTCTAAATAACTGAGTAACCACTTTAACTCTCAAAATACCCCCGAACCAATGTTTGCAAAATTA